ATTAATTTCTTTATTTAAGAAATAAATTTAAAGATAACACAATCATAATATTAGATTTCATAAACCATGTTGCATTAAATAAAATTAATAAATCGCTGTACTTATACAAAAATTAAACGGATGAGATAATTTGAATATTCGGCACTTATCAAAAGAGTCTTCCTCTCTTATTTAAAATGTCGAAAGAATAGAAAAAAAGGAAGAAAGAACGAAATAAATAAAAGAAAGAAAAAAATTAAAGTTTAATTTATTACTCCTCTACTTGAAAATCGCCAATAAGGTGCTAAACTTTTATTTTCGGAAAACTTATATTTCATGTAAATGTTCTAATTTGTCAACAATTCCCCTCCTTTGCCGCATGAGTGATTTTGAATACTCAACTGCGAGAAAACGATGACCCCTCTTCAACCCCTCACAGGAAGATAGTTTTGGACGAGTTCAATCATAGAAACTGCTTTCAGAAAACTCCCGTAATGAAGGGACACAAATTCTAGGACTCGATCGGAATCAGAGGGTTAATTGGTGCAGACGATAAAATTACAAAGTCTTGCTCAAAAACGTACTTTCTCTAAATAAAAACTTTTTTTTCTCACAAATTCTGATTTTTGACCTCCAAAATTTAGGGGGCAGCCTCACTCTAGGAAATATGGTTCCAATAGTTTGGTCAAGATAGTGGTCCAAATTTAGACCCCCCAATGTTAATTTTATTTTTTGTGTATTTCATCCTATCTCAAACTTTTAAACAAATTTAAAATCTTTTGCTCATTTAATATTTTTTATTTTATAATCAAGAGAAAAAATTTTAGTTGTAAGGTACACAATTTTTTCGTCACTCTAAAGAATGTAGAATAATATCTGTTGCCTGGTATAATACGAAATTCTAGCAAAATTGTTTGAATAGTTCCTAAGAAATCGAATTTTGAAAAAGTCATACTTTTAAAATTTGATTTCTCTGGAAATATTGACTGATTTTGCTCAAATTTCGTATTTTTGCCATTTAAAATTGCATATTTCAAATTGACATAAAAAATTTCATACCTTATAATTCAAAATTTTGCCAATTAATTTTAAATAAAATAATGAAGATGATTAATATTTACTAAAAGTTACTTTTACATGAATTATCTTTGAATAAACAAGTTTTATATTTGTGTGCAAACATTTTTCAATTCACTTAAAAAGTTCTTAAGATATGGCAAAACATGCAAAAAGTAAATCTAGCATTAAGGGGTCCAAACTTTGTAGCGCTCTCCTGACCAAATCGTTGGGACCATATTTCACAGATTGCAGTTACGCCTTATATTTCTGGGGTCAGAAATCTGAATGAGCTGAAAAAAGATATGTTAGTTCAAAGAAAGTACGTTTTTCTAGTCTGATTTTGTAGCTCTAAAATATTGCATGCACTAATTATTTACCTTATTTGAGGTCATCTCCTTGAACCATTACAATCGAGTTCTAGAATGTGAAGATACAATCATTAGATTAAGTTTTTCAGGGACGTTTGTTTATTTATTTATTTTTTAGGCACTGAACATGTTTTTAGGCACTGAATCAGTTTAATAAAAAAAAATTTGTAAACAATTTATACTTTTATGACTGTTTTCTTCAAAATTATTTAAGATCAGTTTTTAAGGAATACCTCGTAATTGAGTATTATTTACGTTAGCCTCTTATTTTGGAGGGAAATGTTAACTGAACTAGTGAAATTAATGAAACCTTGTGACATTTTAGAGGACACTAATAACTTTTAAATGATAATGATTATTTAAAGCCTCTTATTAGATTATGTGTTTGTTTAACTAACTCCGTGATTTTTACGAAAGTGATGTTAAACTAACTCTGTGATTTTTAGGAAAGTGATTCTGATGAACGCCCTGTTTCCTGTGAATATTGTAATAAAACATTTGCTTTAAGCTACTTAGCTTATCACATGAACCATTGTCCAGAACTTATTGAAAAATGTCCATCTTGTGATATGTTTGTTAAGATGAAGGATAAATACAATCACAAAGAGACCTGCATGGTAGTTCATTACTTTTATATCTTAGTTTTTCAATTTTACAAATTTAAAGCAGAATAAGCTTAAGGTACAGTGCACAAAATAAAAAAACGATCCACCCTGAATCATCTTTGATCTAATGATTAAATCTTCACGTTCTAGGACTCAGTCTTAAAAGCTTGAAGAGGTGACCTCAAATAAGCTAATTAAATAGCGCAAACGCTATATTAGGTTACAAAATCAAACACAAAAACATGCTTTTGCCACATCAACATATCTTTTTTCCGACATATTCGAATTTCTGACCCTTTAAAATATAGGATGTAGCCACAATCTGGGAAATATGGTTCCAGAAGTTAGATCAGAAGAGTAGTCCTATGTTGGTCTCCTATATGCTAATTTTACTTTATACTTCATCATTTTTCAAGAACTATTTAAGCTAATTGAAAAAAATTTGTTCACAAGTATAAAATTTGTTTATCCAAATATAATTCCATGCCAATATAACTTGTATTAAGTATTTTTCATTATTTTATTTGATAATAGTCAAAATAAAATTTGGATTGTAAGGTATAAAATTTTAATTCACAAAATACGAAATTTGTGTGAAATCGGTCAAATAATTCCTGAGAAATTGAATTTTCAAAAAGTCTTTTATTTAAATTTGATTTCTCAGGAACTGTTTGACCGACTTTACTCAAATTTTGTATTGTGCCATTTGAAATTGTTTTCTTTAAAATGATGGAAAAAAATTTATGCCTTACATTTTAAACGTTTTTGCGACTGTTATCAAATTAAATAATGAAAAATAATAAATATTATTAAAATTTGTATTTTGCATGGAATTATCTTTGGATCAGGGAATTTTATGGTTTCACATAAATAGTTCTCGAGATATGGTGAAATACACAAAAAGTAAAAGAAACAGTAATAAATCCAAAGTTAAGATTGCTTTCAAACCAACTATTAGCACCATATTTCCCAGATTGAGGCTACTTTCTATATTTTGGGGTTCAAAAATTCGTATCCAACAAAAAAAAAAAAAAAAANAAAAAAAAAAAAAAAAAAAAAAAAAAAAAAAAAGGCATGTTTATTCAGAAAAACAAGTTTTTGTGTTTAATTTAGTAACTTAAAATGTTGCCTGTGTTAATCAATTAGCATATATGAGGTAACCCGTTCGAATCTTAAGATTGAGTCCCAGAGCGTGAAGATCGAATTAGTAGACCAAACGTTTTTCAGGGCGGTCCTTTTTAATTTTGCACACTAAACAAATGCAATTCAATTGTAGCTAGGAGTATGTGAAATTAAAATCATTCATAAAATTTTAAATTTTACTCTGCCATATTTTTGTTTTAGATGTATTTGTCATTGGTTACTTTCAAAGCAATAAGTCACTTGTTTTTTAATTAAAAATCTGTTTTTATCTACTTTTTTTTGGTAGAACTCGTGTAAAAGACGTACATATTTTTACAAATTTTCTAATGTCCTCATATAAAAATAATTATTAAAACTTAGTCCAATTTTTGAAATACCTTTATCCCATAACCATTAACAAACGATTCGTCCAATACAGTCCAACCATTTTTTATAACAATAATTATATAATTAAATTTATATTAAGATCAGGTAAATTTACTCTTTAAATCAGAGTGCATGTTAAACTCAGAGTATCCGAAATTGTTAGAAATAGTATTGTAAAAAATAAACTAGATATTTTTTTAAAATAGTTTACTCTTATTTAATCTCATATGGATAACATTTGACTTTATTTGTTCAGAAACTAGGGCAATAATTGCAGTTATCATTCATAATTTCACTTCTGTTGTCCCACTATAGCTTTGGTGTTTCAATTAGTTGTGTTTCTTGGCAAAATATATGATATCCTTCTAATTGTTTATCTGAATGTAATTTTTGAAATTGAATCTAGGGAGTGATTGTTAAGTCTTTCCAAAGAAATAAAATTTTCACTCACATTTTAATATTTAATTTCTGACTGTGTCAATAAATTATTTTTTAATTAGAATTTGAGAATTTTTTCTTTGGGTCTGAGTTAATCTTGTAGTGTCAAGATTTTATTTCTAGTTTTTTTTCACATAGAAGTTTTCATTTAGCTAAAATTGCTCAGTTATACCCAAGATTTCATTAAATACTTGTAGTAAACAAGTTTGACTGTATTTAAGTATAGGTCGAATGTCATTGTAGTTGTAGGCATTATATTTTCCTTAAATTTTTTATTCCCTAAATTTAATTAATTACTTCTAATCTCTTTCAAATTAAATAAAAGGGTTTATTCATTTTTACAGTGAGTTGATTGTACATATTTTTATTCTCTACCTTTTTTCAATGATGTAAATGCAATGACTAGGTTTGATTTGAAGGCAAGTGTACAACAAATTATTATTCAATGTTACAACAACAGAATATCAAAAATGCATTTTTCATATTTCTTTCCTGAACCACTTTGAGCATTAGTATCGTTGATTTCTTCTCTCAGAATTGCCAGTTGGTTCTTTTTCTTCTTAAATGGGTTCTATTTATGAAGCTGTTCCTTATAAGTACTTTTCCCTAAAGTCCCCAGTTTTTCATTAATGATATCAATTTTTTTTTCAAATTTTACCAGGAAAATTTAGATATGCACTACTCAAAACAATTTAAAGCATATTGAGGTTGTGGGTTGATCTTGCACCAGGAGAACTGTTTGAATAATTTATACATTATTAACAGATGTAGTAGGCTGTATGATATAAAACGGACATTTGTTAGGCAGAAAGAAAATATACTTTATTCAGCATTTAGGTACAAAAGGGAAAAAAACACTATTTGTGCATGTGAGAAAAACAATTAAAAAAGGGTATTCTTTTAAAAGAAACTCATTTTTAGTAGGGAGTATGATTTCCCCAGATGGCCAGCAACCTAGAACACTTTTGAGGTATCGAGTCAAAGAGGTTATTAATGAGGGGCCGGGGTATTCTTTCCCACTCCCCCAGAAAAACTCTTTCCAGGGGGTGATTGGGTGTTGTTGCATGATACGCCCTCGTTCTGATCTTCGGCCTTTCAAAAAATGGTTGCAGATCCTGGAAATCACACTTTGTGAAACTCCGATAGATTTGGCATGTATTTACCCCCCTCTCCCACCAACAACTCTCCAAGTTTCTGAGACATCCCACTCATCGAAATAACGTGCTTACTGAATGTCGATCATTATTTTCCTCTTTATCTTACTTAAAGTTGAAGTTCAAATGAAATTTGCAGGCACTAAAGTGTCGTCTTTGACGTCAAGCTCAAAATTTGCATACTGCATAGTTTGAAAATAAGTGAAAATTGCATTTGTGATTCTCTTTTTCCATTTTATGTACACAAAAACAATTTGCTTTTACCATTATTTTATACAATACTCACTATATCCTGTAATTGTTTTGAGCAGTGTATTTAAAATTAATGCGTATGATGGCAGTGTCTGCCCTAAAGCAAGTTGACAGAATTGAATGGAATTCACCCATACATTTAATTCATTGTTAAAATGGAATTTGACAATTTCCTTCCTTTTTTAGACATACTTGTCTAAAAAGGTTCATAAAGATGACTGTTTACAAACCATTGTGCATGGCAAACCATTTGCTGTTGCTTGTTATCCACCCAATCATAAATTGCAACCTTTAACACGTTGGTTTACAGAGTCGTTAATTAATATTTGTTCTTTATCTAACTTATTGAAGTACAAGATCAATTACATTAAAGCTATTGTGCAAGATTATCAATTCACTTGTTGAAATGTGTTCAGGGTGTCAAATCTAAACTTGTTAAACCTATTCTTCGGTTTTTCCAAGAATCACTTTCCAAATATCAAACATTCTTGTAAAACTTAACTCCCAGTAATCTTTATTCCAGCTAACAAAATTATATTCATGAACCTAAAACAACCCATTAACTTCTAAAATGATGTAGGCATTCATAGAATTACACTTGAATGTTTCCTTTCCTATATTGAACTAACTAAATGTGCTCTTAAAGTTTGCTCAAATTAACACTAAAACTTTGTCAAGTAACGAGAGCCCCCAACCCTTATCTAATGGAAAACACTGTTGTGCTTGCGATTTTTCATCACCTCATTTTTTCACTAACTTGTTTCATGTTTTAATATGGTTTCCAGAAAACCCTTCATATCATCAAAAACATTTATTTGATAATCAGTCATCTCACAGCCGTACCACATTTCTCAAATATTCGGAAATTACTAATTTTTTTAACTGTCATGTTAATTTACTTGCACTTTTTTAACTGCATATTTATCTTGCCAGTTAAAGTGACCTTTCTCAAAATTTAATATCTATGTTTACTGACCTTGCTATTTCATTTTACTGATGAAAGAGTATCTTATGGCATCAAAACTTATATAGGGTTTTATAATTTTACTTTTTTGTGACTTTAAATATTAATTTTACTCAATCATAAAAAAGTTAATTTGTGAGATATTCTGTAAATATCTTTTTCCAGATGTTTTCTACCATTACTAGATTTGCTCCATTTATTATTTGATATGTATTTTTTTTTTTTGGAGGGGGTTTCTAAAAAGTCCCTAACTTTTAACTATTAAGTCCCTTAGTACCTATTATTTTGGTCCAAATTTACTACAAATTTGCAAGGTTTGTTTAATTATAAAGCACAATTTGAAACTTATTTTTGTTGCAAATTCTCGATATATTAATATTGGATATAGTAGGGTCGGCTCTATTGTTAATATTTTTTTAAACATGTATTTTTGATAAAGTGCCAATAATGTAAAAAAACGTCTGTTAACAATAACCTTTTAATTGGCTTTTAATCTCAGGGCTGATTGTGCTCCGGAAAAAATCCGAATTTCAGGATTTCTCGCTAACAGTGATCCGGAAGTTTCCGGAGATCGAACGTCCAGACGTTTAAAAAAATTATTGATCACAGAAGTTTCCGGAAATCAAATTTTCAAAGGTGGAACTTAAAAACACAGTTTATTTTATTTGTTTGTAAGGGAGAGACAGAGAGATACTTTATAAGCTTATATTCATGATTAATATTCATTTTTTATCAGTTAATAGTTGCTATAATCATAAACTCAAGAAAGAAAGACATATTTGTAAATTTTTATTACTTCACCATAGGTATGTGTAAAATTTTAAATATATTTTAGGTAAACTAAGAAATATTGAGAAAAAGGAAGAAAATAACCTTGTAAAAATTTTTTTTCTAATTTTTCAATTTAAACCGTTTTTTTTTTTTTTAACTCAAGAAATTTTCCGGAATTTTGATTTGGACTCACAATCACCCCTGTAATCTGACAAGTTCGGGGAGGGGATATAAACTCCCATTGCCAGTTCCTATCAATATTCAAAATTATACAAATTCACTAAAAAAAAAATTTATATATCCAATTGACACAATTGATATATATTCAGAGAATAGTGACCTGATACCTACAAATACTTTATCAGCTCCTCAAGATTTCAAGCCAAGTCTAGCACCTGTGCAAGATGAGTGACTTAAAATTCAATTGACTCTAGCAGTGCAATAGTGCAATTCCTTTTCTTTAAATGTTCTCCAAATCTGTTTGTCACATGTTGATTTAGTTTAGTATAATTTGTTATGACCTTATTTTACTATGCCACGTGGTCAAATTTATTTCAATGAGTAAATCTTGATAATTGAGTTAATCATCATTAAAATTGCTTAAGTAAATTATCTCCCGTGTGATCATTATTTCCAGACAAATATTTTTATCTTAATTTATTTGTATTTGTTGGTGATGATTTGGGATAGGTCTTAGTTGTAAAATGCATTAGTACTAAATTTGGCAATTATCCCACTATACTTTACCCAAATTGTCACCACAATTTTCTTTGGAAAAGCTACATTACATGAAAATTTTATTCTTGAAGTATTGTCAAAATCTACATACTAGAAATTGAGTATGATATTCTACAATAAACGATTCAATTGGATCAATATGTGACTCTTCTCGCTTCTCAAATTTGATTAAATTTAAAATATTATTCTAGTTAGATCATTTTTCTTTTTCATTGTGAATGTTAAAATGCCTTGCAAATCTGTTGATGTAATATATTGTAAATAACTCTTTATCTCCTTATTATCATTATTGAATGAATAATTAAGTACCGTAAAAAATCACTGCTTTCTTTGTTCAATCACTGTTTTGTTCCTGATTAATTCCCTAAAATTCTAAAAAAATTAATTATTTTTATTGTGCTAAATCTCTATTTCGACTGTTCAATTCATCATTTTTTCAAATACACTAGATTTCACACTCATTTTCATGAAGTGCATTAGAATCTCAGTATTATTAACCTGAGGCATTTAATAAGAACATGACGATTATAAATAGTAATTGACCAAGAACAATTTTTGAAACAACAGGAGTCAAAGAAAGAGATTTTGACGATGTATAAAAGAATGAAATCAAGGAAGAAAGTTGAAATACGTTTGAAGAATTGTGAAAAGTTATTATGTAAAAAGATGTTTTGAATTCCAAAACACTAAATCACTGAATTATTAACTAAAATGGTGTAAAAAAATATTATCTTAATGGCAAGAGAAATAAGGAGTGTGTAGTTTTTCAGAAATTTTATCAATTTTTATCATTTATTAATATATATCCAGGGGGAATCAATGTCAATATATCAAACTGGATTTAGAATAAAATTTTTTATAAAAAAAAAAAAAATCAGATATATTTTTTTTCACGTTTTATTACATTTTAGGCCCTAAGAAATGAATCTGAACTTTGTGAACATTGTGGAAAAACCTTTCCTTCCAATATTCTTGAGAACCACAAATCAAATTGTGATCTTCGCTGTGAAAAATGTGCATTCTGCTATGAATATGTGAAATATAAGGATTTGGAACATCACAAGGAATTGTGTGGACAAGTAATAGTTTTTTTTTTTGTAATGCGTAAATTAAGTTTTCAAACTTATAAAACTAAATAATTTATTATTCTCTAGTTGAGTTCTATCCTCTTGATGTAAAAAAAATTTAATAATCAATGAATTGGTATTAATTGACACCATGTAACTGAAAAATATACATGGGAAATTAGGGTAAGACGGGATAGCTAAAGATTCGAAGGCCTGTTGAAGCTAAACTGTGTGACCTAGAAACTGTCTAATTTAATCAATATCTTTATTGTTTAGTTGTGTGGAATATATCATTCCTCAGAAGTCATAGATGTACTGCTTTTTTTATAAGTGATTTTTTTCTGAAAAAGAAAAATCACCCAGCGTTACTCCACTAGTGCAGTAAGACCTGTTACAAATGTTTACTCTATAAGAAATTAAAGAATTTTAGAATTCCAGTGAAAAAGTTAGACTTTTATATGAAAATTTACGAAAATTGCTCATGTAATTTATTTATGATGTGGTCAAGGTCATACTAAAGAAGATGAGAGACAATTGTCATAGAGCTGCTAGAACTCCCACAAAAATTCTGCTCGAAAATATAGCATTTATTAATTAGTTTTTTAAAAGAAAATTGTAGCGAATTTCCTTCTTTGCAGTGAAAAACTGCGATTATGTATAAGAGATGTTTCAAATTCTACAAAATATGAAAACAAAACTTTTTGGGAAAGGGCCTACAATAAATTTTATTGTAAGGCTCATTAAACATTTTGTTTAGCCTTAGATGCAGTTATATTTCTTCCTTCGCTGAACTGCAGCTTTCGTCTACCCAGTATAAACGCACATTAAGGTGGTAAGACTGGGTATTACCCAGTTTTATTGTGAGATTAGAGATTATTGAATTATAACAAGGGTACTATTAGACTAAATCCTTAAATTTTGGTGGAGTATAAATATTTAGTAAACTTAATATAAGTTCGACTAAAAAAATTTTTATAACTGTAATCAATAAAAAAAACTGGTTTAAAAACAAAACATTTGAGAGCTGATATCAAAAAATAAACTTATCTATGCAGACGCTTTGAAAAAATCAACAAAAACAGGCCAATATGGTAGATTTCTTGAATAATTAAGTGTAATTCAGAGTTTGTCCACAATGTTGACACAATCAAGGTACTTGATCTTACCCCTACCGACCTAATTGAAAAGTTTTGAATAATTGAATTTTTTTTATTCCTTAGTTTATCTAGCAACTTTTCATTATTAGATTAAGTGTGACACAATTTTTTAAATTATTCATCAAAACAAAATTCTCTGTCTTATTTGACATTAAAAATGATGCTATTGATCATGGCCAACATTTGATAGAAAAATTTATGACAGTCAAGCAACAATTTCAATGAATAAGCTATTTAGCCCCAAACTTTTTTTTCAATAACTGTTAACTTAATATTATTTAGGTTTATTAAAACTTGCTCCTAAACAAAACAAACTATGAACGTACTAAATACATTACGTTGCTTTCAAAATCCTAGTTGATTTTACTTGTGGCTTACCTAACCTAATGAATCAATTATAATTGATGATAAACTTGTTATAAATTCCCTGTGAAACTAGTTTTTAATTAAATTAAATGAAACCATTAATTGTAACTTACTTTCAAATAATTTAATAAAAAAATAATCTGAAATTTGTATGTAACTGTGGGTAATGTTTAAATCCTATGACAAAAATTCTTTTTTCATGCATCTTTCTAACAAACCAATTTAAAAACTTTTCCAATGATCTTTAGGATTAGGCGCTAAAGTTATCCCTCTCATTCTAGTACAAAAAGTTCTGGCATTATAAGTGAAATGCATCGCCACACTAAATCTTTTATTATAGATGCTTTAATTTTAATACTAATTTTTCATTGCATAAAATATTCATCAGGAACCCTACCATGAGCTCCATGGAATGAAATTCCATCTGGGAATGACGTCACGTTCCAACGGGAATTATTTTCCCCCACCACGAACACCTTGGAAAGAGTTTCTTGGCAAGAAACAACCGGTTTTCCTTCCAGCCGATGTCTACTGCCCGGAATCCTCATTCTTGGAGGGAATGGTGAATTTTTTAGAACTAGATACGATATTTCGCCGATGAATGTCTTCATTATTTTCTATTTCATAAGGGAAGATTTCAAAATATCTAAAAGATAAACGTGCCCGAGCCATTTTCAAGACGATTATTAAGAGATGTTTTGTTTCGTGTGAACGAAAAGATACTTTGAGAGTTAACTAAGAAATTACAGCAAACTAAATATAATTATGCTCTTATTATATGATAATTGTTACTATTTTTAATCTTATATTACCTGGGATATATAACTTGACCAATTCCTTTTTTTGAAGTTCCAATCATTTCTTTTTTTAATTTTCTTTCAATGAACTTTTAATTCAACAGTATTTAACTTCATTCCGAACGATAGTTTTTTATACTATAATCAGATAGCAGCAAATTTAAAGGAATTTGTTACAGGCATGATGTATTATAAAGTAAACAATTTATTTATAATAAGAAATGCGAAAAAAAAGATAGAATAAAAATGCTTCGAAAAATATTTATGAAATATGCACTATTTCTTTTACTCATTTTAAAATCTTTTATTCTCATTCTTCCATTAAAATATATACTATAAAAGCTGTGCAAGTAGTATTTCAAACGTGAAAAGATTTTACAAATCACGAAAATTTTGTTTACACAAATCTATAAATTAATTTCTTGTGAACATATTTATTTAACTATCAGTAAAAAACAATCACTTTAATAATGTAACAAATAAACCAAAGTAATAAGCAAAGTAGTAACTTTAGTCATTCATATTGTTACAAATTCAATTGAAAACTAATGAACTTTTCTGAAATTAAGTTAATTTCTAAGATACCGATTGGTAAACGTTAATTTTTTGTCTGATAAAATTTTATTTCTTTCTGGCAATTAGTTTTTATTTAAAAACTAGTATAATCAGTAATTTATCTACATGCAGAACTCAGGCACGAAATTTTGAAACTTAATTCATTAAAATATAATCATTATTTTAAGAGTTGTACTTTTTAAAAAATATTTAAAACAAACAGTGAAATGCATTAAAGGATATATCAGATATATTTATTATGAAAAAAAATGATTTTATTCTACGAATTATACATGTTAAATATGACAGTTTTTAATTAGTAATAAATTATATGTATAATAAATTAAAGAATATTTCAAAGTATTCGCAGTTTATGTTCTTTTTAGTCTAATGAAAACAAAAAACATTATAAGAAGAAAACAATAAATCGTTACAAATATTATCTAAATAGCAGAAGCTCGTTTCGTTTTACTCATGCTAATGCTGCCAAACTCAAAAAGAAAATCTAAAGTAAATCGTGTGATTGGTTAAATTTTAGCCACGCCCTGAGAGCGAGGTATCGTGGAATGTCCGATTCCAAGGGAGTGTTCATGGTACGGTATTGAACGTTCATGGAACCAAACTTTCCCGGTTTCACTTTCCAGCCGGGAATCTTCATTCCATTCCCGGTAGCTCATGGTAGGGCCCCTGGCATAAGAATTAAATTACATTATAATTGCTCTCAAGTGACTTTCTTTTTTAATTTTATCAATGTGAAAACTTTATAAATTTAACCTACTTTTTCAAGACTTTTCTGCTTATATGGTGCAATATTATGCATTTCTATTCTTGGTGGTTCACTTTTAGGTAAAACAGTATCTTGTTGCTACTTGTAAAGATTGTGATCGTCGGATTCCCACTGAAATGATGGAGGAACATCAATCTACCTGCGATTTTCAAAAGTGTCCATTGTGCAATAATTCTGTTGAGATAAAGGATATGGACATTCACCTAAACACTTGTGAACAAGTAATGTATAAATTCTTCTTTACATTGAAATAATATTATTCAGTAATAAGTCATTTATTAAACTATAGGTATAGTTAGTAAAGTATTTTCATTGGTTTTCAATATTTTCGTAGGAGATTAATAGACTTTGAAAAACTCCCATTTTGTTATTTTTTTAAAAAAAAACTTACCAATTTTATTTCAGCCAGGGTTCCTTTCCAAAGTGTTTAAAACTTAGATTTCTCGCAGTGATAACAAATATCTCAGTAAATGCGATAATTATATATATAATTATTTTATTTGTCAGATATCTAATTCTGTTGAGTTATACTGTTTTTGCCAAATAAAATTCGGGAAAAAATGTTTTTCTACCTCTGATAATTAAAATTTCATGATTTGTATTGAAGTTGAAAAAAAAAACTTCCACAAACAATCAAGTTTCACCACCTAAGAGTCATGGAGGAAGGAATGAAAGGAATTGTGAAGTTTTTGAGAGGAATTTTTCCATCACCGATTCTGCCATATTAATTTGTTTAGGGAGAAATGCTTTCAAGCTATAATAATACTTCACTTTGATGCGTTTTAATTATTTAATTAAATTTCTTACCTTAATTATAGTGTATGAACTGACTGACGTTAAATTAAATAAAAGCATTGCAAAATTCTTATTCGTATTTTCAACTAGATACAGATATTTATCTCAAGGCTTTTTTACAGTACTGATATCTATGATTAATCAATATTTGATATTTGAAGAACATTATTCGACAAGTATTTTTTTATATGTTTATGAAGCTAAGCATAGAGAAAGGTTTAACCTGCCCATACAAAGCTTCCCTGCCTAGCATTTTAATAGTTTCTATGCCATCCATGTACTTGAGACCACAGGAGAAGGCACCTCTGCATTGAGAATTCTCCACAAATTTATCTGCATAGCGTGCTTTGAAATAGTTGTATTTAAACATTGTCAAAAACAGGGAAGAATGTGTATAACTTCTGAAATACACAATCAATTAACCACTCTACTAAAATTTAAATTGCACTACTTGAAACGAATTATTAGAAACTTATTTAAATAAAATGAAATTTTAACTTATAAAGATGAAAGACAATCTGTGGAACTTCAGCATCTTAATGTTACAGTTTTTTAAAAATTAAGCCAAATTCAATCAAACGTTAAAAAGATTTTTATTTAAATGATTGACTGACTTAAGTAATTATTATTTTATTGTATTTAAATGCTTGTTTCAGTTCCAATTTTTCGGTATAACACCAATAAACGACGTATTTGTTTTAATTTAACTAAAAAATTTGAGTTTACACACTTATTAAATTATAATTAACTAATAATTGCAACCAAGCATTCATAACTTTGAACAATTAATGGAGTTTAAATACCATTACAATTCTAAATTTAGAATTTATCTTTGCTTTAATAAGTTATTTTGAAATTTTTTTTTTCTAATTTTAAGCTATAAAGAATTTTATTTATTTTACTGTTGCAGACAAGAAAATATCCTAAAGCAACGTGTGAACATTGTAGTAGTAAAATTCCTGTTAACAAGTTGGCTGACCATGAATCTAATTGTGATTTTCATTGTAAAACTTGTCCATTGTGCAATGTTGCAGTGAAAGTTAAGGATATGGATAACCATCAAAGCATTTGTGAACAAGTAATGTTTTCTTCTATTCCCTTATGAGATTTTATTTAGTAAAAGTAATTGGTAATAATTTAAACAAAAGCATACATTTAAAATTAAGTGTATTATATATTTAAAAACAATTTAAATACATCTACTTTTTATTCTATCTCTACCATTTCATTTCAAAGTCAAGATCTTCTATTGTTTTAACTCGCTAGGAAGATCACAAATTAGGGATTTTATACCTACTTTGCATTTGTAGTTATAATATTGATACAAACCAGCATTATTATTTTATTAGAGTAAACATCTAATTTTATTACATGACTAATTTCTATGTGATTCTGTTCTGCCAAATGAAGGTTAAAAAAATTTTATCTTTGGTTTCAACTTATAATCCTAGAAACTTGACCATTTACAGGGCTAAGCATGAGTCAATTTTCTCATTTAATGTCACTATCTTAAATAGTAGCTTTTATTCACTGTTTTTAAGACTTAGTCACTTATTTCACTTTTTTTTAAATTTCATATTTACCCCCATTTCAATCAAAAGAAAGATTTCACATTTCCCTAAACCCATGATATTACAATTCTCTTGCTCTAGTAAAAGAGGACTCACTCAAAGAGGTGGGGTATAGAAGAGGATTGAATATGTGAAGAAAGATAGACAATTTCCACTTTCAAATTAATTCCTCTTGAAATGCAAGAGAGCCATTAACTGTATCGAAGAATGAATTTGTTCATCATCTATCTTAACTTTTGTTTTCTTATCTGCTATGGGCTTGCAGAACATGGAAATTTTGTTTATTTCTCCTTGAATTGAATTTTCTTTTTTCTGTAGGGTTGATACGTACCTTAAATGTGTTTATCATAATTTTGCATCATGGAAATTAGGCACTATTAAAAGTTCTTATTTTACACTAAAAGTGCTTAAACGTTCTTTTTCTTCAAAAGAAAGAACTTAATAAAAATATTTACTTTTATATTATATTTTTTATTATTTTTTATTATTTTTTTCCCTTTTCAAAAATGTGATTCTTTTTTAATAAAATGTTATTATGTCATGCGAATTTGAGTAATCTTTTTTTGACACATAATTTCACACTTTTGGATGCTTTTTTATTTTTGATGTCAGTAGTTATTAAGAATTTTTTAGTCCTTTCTATGTGGTATTTCAAATTGTGCTGTTTTATGAAGAATGTTATGACACACGAATTTTAAATTGGAGAATTTCAAATTAATTCATTATAAATTTAATTGGTTTTGTAATCGTTTTATCAGTCAAATGATTGACAAAGTTCCATTTTAAAAAAATATTTAATATGGTTTTTCGAATCTCCAAAATTTATTTAATACAATGTTTATTATGTGACGCGTATTTCAGTAACAACTATTCTTTAATGATTTATTCGAAAATCGTTCTCGGACGTATTTGATTTCATCCTGATTTCAAATACGTTTTTATAACTTTATTTCCAGTGTTTACTTTAGGTACTCATGGGAATTTTTATGATTTTTTCAGCCTTTTCCTCGTGGTTTTTTGAATATGATGTTATTATTACTTGCCTTTTTCATCTGAAAGTTAACTTTTTTTACAGACTAGATTCAAGGCGATTACGTTGTAAATTAAAGTTGTTTTCCGACAGTTTTTGCATTCTTTTAATTTTATATCAATACAAAGTTATATTTCTGATCAATGTGATGTTGTAACGACTCTCAAATTTCAGGTTTCAGTAACGACAATTTGTTAATGATTTATTCAAAAATCATTTTTAACGCATTTGGTTCTATCGTGATTCCAGTTCTTTTCCCCTGAGAGTTCTTTCAACCATTTTTATTTTTTTAAATTATATTTTTTATGCACTGTTATTACATATGCATATTTCGAATTTAACCAACTTAGGACAATGATTACATGTGTTCATTTTCACACATATTTCCAATTTTGATACTTTTAATATGATATTGTTATTTTTTATTTCATTAATCACTTTATGCCACATTCATTTGGCTCCATTTCTATTTAAAAGTACTTTTTTTTTTTTGCAATATTAGTTATTTAAAGTTTTTCCAGTTCTTTACATCTTATTTAGAAACATCGTTTTTTTTACTCCTGAAGAGAAGCACATCTCAATAAATGTGTATTGACTTTACATGATAGCAACAATATTTTTGTTGTATACTTTCACTGCTTCATTGCTATAATACTTTAAGCCATAGTAGCTAAAGTTAAACATGCAACTTTTTTTTTAGTTTGGAAAAATTAGAAAATATTTATTATGTAATTTTTTAAAAAAAAATTTCAATAGCATTAAATTTAAGCAATAAGCAGCTACAGCAATAAATGTTTCTAAACAGATTTTTTTACTTTTAGATGTATATTTTTAAGCTTATTAGGATGTTGTCTGAATATTAACACTGTTTTAAATTAAGTCTCTATTTCTCACTTTTTAAAAAATTTTAGTCACTTTTTTCACCACTTTTTCTACAATAACCTGCACTGCGCTCTGCATTTATTCTAACGTTAAAAAGTTTTCAAAAGATTTTATTAAGAAAGTTGATAAATACTTTCCTTTTCTTTTAATCTTCTGCATGTTACCTATTGCCTTCCAAATCACTATTTTTATTCTGCAAAATATAAAGTGCTATGAAATCAACTAAATAGAATAATGCCTGAAAACTTTCCATTTTATTTTTTAAAAAAATGTAAAAACTGGAAACAATAAAAATGTCAAAAAAAAAAATTCATAACATAAATTTATGTAAGATTTATATCAAAAAGAAAATCCTATCTATAGGCATTAAAACATTTCCTAAATATAAATTATTGACCAATTTAGGAACTTGGAAATTAATTTTCTTCTGGGCATTTTGATAAAATTATTTCCATTATGGCCTAAATATTGAAAAAACTTATCATTCAAAGGCTTTATACATTCTACTGTTGTTAAAATTTAAAAGAAAAGGGTGCTTGAAAGTAATTTCTATAGTCTGGGATTCTGTTCTACAAAATTTTATGACCAAAATCTTCAACAGCATTAGAATTATATGTTTGCATTTTGTGCAAAAATTTATGCATTTTGCATGAAATAGGTTTCATCTAGACCAGGGGTCGGCAACCTTTTGAAATGAAAGAGCCAAAAGTTACAATTTTACAAAATTTCCCGCTTTTAAAGAGCCACTGAAAATTTTTGATTTAATACTATAATATTTTTTTATGTATATATGATTTTTAATTAAAAAAAACGGTTTTGAATACAGAATAATATTTATTCTTTATTTTTAAAATACGCTAATAATTTTTTTAAAATTTAGTTTTTATTTAATTTTTAATTTTTTTAACTTATTTTTTTTTTTGGGGGGGGATAAGAATATTTGGGTCATTAAAATTCGATGAAAATTGCAAATTTTCTTACTAATTCTTGTCAAATTTTCAACAGAAAACGCGATTTTTTTTTATTAAATGTGCAACGAAACACAATCTTATCAGACAGATTTTATAATAATTCTTTTTAATTTTTCATAGCAATTCCGTAATAATATTCATTTATATTATATCAGAATTTTTTCACAATTTTCCTTTTTTAAGAAATATGTACCGTCTATTCTTGTTATTGTTAAAAACAATTTTTAAGCACTTAATTATTAAACATTTAAATAAATTTTGCATTTTTTTTTCAAGGCAAACGTTAAATCGACTTATGATGAAGTGCTAGAAACGATGGTCACGTACTTTTTCTATTTATTGTAATTTCTATTTCTATTTATTTTCTATTTATTGTAAACATTTATAGAGCCTCGAGCTTTCCAACTCAAATAATTTAACATTTTTTTAAAAAATTAATTTAATAAAAGTCACTGAAAGTAACGATCTTCTATTATTTTAAATATCTTTTATACGCAAAATTACAACATTAATGTATTTGATTGCTAAATTTAATAATATGCAGGTAATTCGGAGTGACCGCTCTTAATATGCATTTAAAGAAATTTTGTTTCAAGTGAACGCGAAAACGAACGGATAGAGGTCACACGTTAGAATTTTAACAATCGAAAACAAACAAATCACTGTTGAGGAAGGCGAGTGTAAAAAGGCGATTAACGATTTTTTACCAAATTAAATAACTTTATAAATTAAAAACTTCAACATTCACCTGGCAATTAAACAGGCCTGTTATTATTACTATTATTATAAAGATTATATCAATATATTGCATTAGATATTTTTTAAATTTATATGCTTGTTTTTTCCCTTTTAAATTTTAATTTACTACATCCGCTGAAGTAGATTTTTATCTTTATTTTTGACAAGGTTTATAAAAATTTATATTAAGGGTGGTCTTTTCATAACATCATGTTTTACATGATAATAACATGTGATACACATCAAAGGCTTTAAAAAATGTAGATGAAAATTAAATTAGTATTTATTCATTAAACTGAAACATTAAACTGAAAAATTATCAGACATCAATTATGACTCGTGCATTTTTTTTAAACTCTTAATCTAAGTAGGATTCTTTCTGATGCATTTCAAATATTATATGCGTATTTATTTAATTTTAGTAATTTGATTTGCGAATAATTATTTTTAATGCTTATTTATTACTAAAATTTTATTTTTCATTTTCATTTAATAATTTTATTTATTTTTATTATTCATTTTATAATTTACATTGTTATTAATATAAGAGCTGTGACTAAAATCTTGAATGGGGATACAGAAATAGTTCTTTTTTTTCTGGGGGGGGGATGAACTAGTTTTGGAAGCACAGATAAATTTTTTCACGCATTCTTGCCTTAAATTTGTAAAATGCTAAATTTTTTATACGAATATTTCTTTATATAAAAATAATACTATATAAATAATAAATTAAACTTTTAAAAAAATTTAACTATGTATTCAAACATTGCAGCGTGATAAATCATAAATAAATATTTTTAAAATTTGATGATTTGTAAATAATGCTTTACCGAAGAATGTTCAAGTCTTTTTTTAAAATATTAAAAAAAAATACCCTTAAATCGCAAAAAAATTTTTTTTTCTAGTTAAGGTAGTTAAAGTACAATTTTGTTAATTATTTATTTTGTTAATTATCGTGCCTTTTAATACAAAACTGTGAATTGAGTTTTTACATAATTACAAAAATATTAAGTTTCTTTTTACTAATAATTAACTTAAACAAATGGAAAATTGTTAACTTAAATCTAAAATATAAATAAAAAACATTAAATACATACGAAATACATCAACATAGTAACAAAAAAGATAGAAAAAAAATTATTTAAAAAAAAACTGCAGCTTTTCTATTTTTAAACACATTACATTTTTAATAAAATAAGCATTAGTATAGTTTTGTTCATAAAGGATTGCAGTTTGAACTTATTATAAAAACAACTGCTACGAACAAATATAGAATTTGATTTTTGAAATTTAAATTAAATAAGATCTGTGAAAAATAATCTCAACTGAAAAAATTAAATTTAAAAATAAATTACTATTTTAAACACAAAATTAAAAAGCTTAGTAAATAACTATTTAAAAAAAGGAAAAAGAATTCCTATATTTAGAATTCAAATGTGATTTATCTGTTTCCATCTCAAGCTCCTACTAATGAATATAAATAACGTAAAAAAATTTTAATTGCTCTTTTTTCTTTCTTTTAATCATTTTACAGTGGAAAAGAGATTAAAATTTTTTTATCTACTTCATAAAAATCAATTTTTACCCATATATATTTTTTAAAAAAATTTTTTTTTTCTTTTTTGAAAAAAGTCTTATACCTAAATTTTGAAGCAATAATTGAGGAATTAATTTAATAAGAAAATAACAACATATTTAATGAAATTTAATTTTACCTTAATATTTAAACAATAAGACTGCAAATAGTAAATATTCATAAAAAATTTATACTTACATTCAATAATAATATTAATTTATAAGATATGCTTTGAGTAACTAAGTACTTGTAAACTGGTACTGGACAGTTAAAGACAGGTCAGTGAAGTAACTGGGGAGGTGAGTGAAAAGAAACTGGACAGTCATATAGAGAAAACCACAGCTGTATGTGCATTGAGCCCTTTCCTTCCCTTTCTTAACGACATGGACAAAGATATTGTCTTTATTCTTAGAAAGAGCAAGAGAAAACGTGAGAAAAAGGCATTTCTAGATAAATACTTTTAAAGCACCCTGGATTTTTCAAGTTGACAGAAATTTCCGGGGTTTTGTCTGCTGTTTCACAAGATCAGAGTCGCAGGCATCATCCTTTTTTTGTGCCTTTTCATGGTGTCGGTAACGGCATGCTCAAACAGACAACAGACTTGCCACTTTTCCGGGTGAATACTCGGAATCGAGTCGGAATGAGACACCCCTCTAACCGGGCTTAACGACAGGCCTGAGGGTAGCGGTTTGTAATTAACGATTATAAGAATAGAAAGCTCTTGAGAAATTAGGTACTTAAAAATATTTTTTCTTATTTTTAAGGGCTTTGGTAACAATTTATTAATTTTTTCGTATGGAACTGGAGAGCCGCAACTTTACATCAAAAGAGCCACCTGTGGCTCGCGAGCCACAGGTTGCCGACCACTGATCTAGACCTATAAAAATAATAGAAAAATTTAAATAATTTGTTAACTCTTAACTTATAATTTACAAACATATTTAAAATTGAGGTTGGCTTTATCTTTTGTGTTAGACTTTGATTGTGTTAAAAACAAAAATGAATTATGAAATGAAAAAAATTCTTATCTTATGTTTAAATTTTTATAGAATTAATTTAAATATGTAGCTGGGAAAACTGTCTATATCTCCCTATTTTTTCAGAGGCAAATCCCTTTGTTGAACTTTGTTTGGGCATCTATAAAATTATGATTTTTATTTTTTTCTCCTTTATTAATAATTTTTTATTTTTTTGACAATTGCAATACCAATTGATTCATTATTATTTTCCATATTTATTCTTAGAAGCAAAAATGTCAATCTAAAGTGGAATGTGAGCATTGTGGAATTAAATTTCCTTTCAAACATATTGAAGAACATGAACTAAGTTGTGGATTTCGCCTTGAGAAATGTTCTTTGTGTTATGATTTTATTGAGCTGATAGAAATGGATGGTCATAGAAGAACGTGTGAAAAGGTATAAAAAAACTTACTTTACTTAAGATACTTAATTTTTTGACTCACTATTATACAATGGAAAATGTAATATTACGCTGAAATACACTATTTTCCTTAGTTTAACTAATTTAATACTCTCTAGTGCTAATTCTCATTATATTAAATAGCTATAGCTTATAATTCTAAATTATTATAATAAATATCTCCTGTCTGTAATGAAAACCTAAAATTTGAAAGAGGGATGGGATAACTGAAATTTATATTTTTCAAGAAATCAATAGATATCCTTAAGTATGTACTTCAAACCTCTGTGTTTTACTATTTGTTGTTTGTATGAACAAGCAATGTTTACATAAATTTTTATTATATTCACAATTTAGTACAAATATAATTCTAATACAGTAATTCCCAAAGTATTGCCTTTTATGGAGCTTTCTTATTTCTAGGTTGCTCAAGGTGTTCAACAGATCATTTCCTTTAAAAAATAATGAAAAATTAAAGTTAATTATTTTTAATATGTACCTTGTGGTACTCTTCTAAAGAATTTATAATTCTAGATTATAACTAGCCACCCTTAGTGAAAACTACTTATAAAAAGTAATAATGATTTACATTAAATTAATTGTATTTTATTAAATGTCTGAAGTAATAGTTCAATAGGAAATAATTTAATTATGTTATATGTTATTAACAATAGCTTAATTCTTAAATATTTTTTTTAATGTTTCTAAAAGTAAACACTATATGGGTAATTCTCAAAATACTTAAAATTTTCAAGAATTATAAGAATGCTGCTCAAAAAATGCCAAGAGATGATGCTTAGCCATTATGCCATGAAGCTCATTCCTTGATAATAACTAAGTATTTATGTTTCAAAAATCTATCGTTGAGTCGAGAAGTTGCTCTGGCCACTGGCCTTGGATTCTAACATATAAAAATTGAGAAAAAGATATTATTTTAAAAATAAGCGTTACATGAGAACATTTACAAATTCTTGAGAATAAACTTTTATTTATGTTTGGCAGTATTAATAAATATTTGTTCTCATTTATCTAACTTGTTTATCAGACTATTATTTTTCATACTAATTATAAAATTAAAAATAAATTATGTATAAAGGTTGATTAAGTAAAACTTTTATTAATTTTATATAAAGTACTTTATAAGAAATTTGCATAATGAAATACTTCTTGAATTTCGCTGAAAAAAATCGTTATCTTTACCACCGGCCTCGCACAACGAAACTTCAATCAATTAATCCAATTTCAACGTGTGAATCATTGCAATGTGATAACTGATACACCTGGAGCATTAGTTATCTTTGTGAACAGTTGGAAGGTGATAATCATATTTAAGACAAAAATCATTTAATAGTTATTTTTGATTTTTATTTATATTTTGTGCAGATGTTTCCATTTAATGTTTGAGTTAAAAGATACAGTCGGACTTCTATTTAACGAACTTCCATTTTGCGAATTTCTCAATTTTAAATTTTTTTTTTCGAGGAACCAAGAACATTTTGGAAATGTTTTCTTAAAATAACTTCCAAATAGTGAAGTGAATTTTCTATTTAAGGAACTTTTCTTTGAGATCCACTTTCTCTATTTCCCAAAATATTTCAGAACATTTTAACTCATTTTATGAGGGAAATGACCTTGAATTGATTTCCAAAGCTACTTACCCCTTTTAAGAGAAAGCAGTAAAATCCCTTTCCCTTTTTGCTTGCATTTCGAACGAAAAACTGAGGCAAAATTAACGGATTTTATCAGTAGCAATTAAACTTAAGAACGCATTTATTTTTGAAATTACTTTTATAATAAATGCAGCTATAATTTTACACATAAATTTAGCTTTTTTTTTTAGATGAAAATGTATGTAGCATGATAGTGTACTGCTAAATTTTGCTCTATTCTTGCTTTCCAGATTTCTTTTATGGTTAAGATTTATAAAATAAATAGTAAATACTAGTTTACAAGATAAAGGTGTATTAATTGCTATCTTTATCCATATTACGAACTTATTATCGGAATTTAGAGACTTCGTTAAATAGAGGTCCGACTGTATTTAATAATACATTTTACTGAAGAATATAGCGTGAGATTTGTTTAAAATATTTTGAAAACAAACATAATGAGCAAAAATTTTTTCTAAAGTTAATTAACAAAAAGTCTTAGATACAAATGAAGTATTTTTCCTCTATTCTTATGTTATTTTAATAAAAAATACAATAAGTGACTGTCAAATTATATTCAGAAGCACACTAAAATGTCAGAGGAACTATTTGCAAGTTCAACTCAGATATATGTGATTCTTCAAAAACTTGACTTTTTTAAATTATTCATTCTTAAAATCCATAAAGGCTCTAAAAAAATTTTCACTTAATCTTTATGCAATACTTGAGAGAAAAATATAGTGGAACTCTTTGTTGCAGATAAACTTACCACAGATGCCAACTACTTGTCCTTACTGTGAACTAGAATTTCCTTCAAACGAAATTGAATATCACATTGTAAGCTGTGGAGCTAGCTTGAAAAAATGCTTTACGTGTGAACGCATGTTTAAATTAAGGAATTTTAACGAACATGAATGTCTAAAAGTAATTATTGTTTTATATTTATTGACAATACAATACAATTTATTTTATTGTAAATACAATTTTAATTTTCCCACAAGGTTTTAAGATTGTAAAAAAAGGAAGAATAAAATATTTTACCTCTTTATATAAATCCATATTGTATTAAAATTTATAAAAATAAGTGAATTGAGAATGCAGAATTTTATTTCATTAAAGCCAATATGTTTCTTGTGAATAAAATCGATTCAAATTTATTTTAATCCTGTATTCTTAGTGCTAAACTAAGAATAAGTCTGCATTAATAAGGCACTAATTCATAAAAGCTAAGTTTTTGCAATGAAAATAATTTGATTTAGATTTATTCTACTTTGTATTTTGTTATCATTCTTAATCTTTCAAACTTCCCATTTTCTTAAAATTTAATAACTTCAAAATGGAAGCCACTTTACACTCTGTTACAAGTTAGGAAAAAAATTATTATCCCTATGGAGAGAGGTTGTTTGCATATAAGTGCTCGCCAAATGAATGATCTCCCATCTATATCGTCAACTCTTGAAATGACGCTGCACAGCCTTTTTGCTTACTTTCATATTAATAATTAATAACAGTCATTAACTACAATAATCAGTTAACAATTAATAAAAATTATGTCTAAAATCCTAGCAAATAAGTCTTTTTTCGCATTTTAAGAAAATGGTGAAAGAATAATAAATATTGTTTCCTGCCGACGATTTTCTTCCACAGTAAAACAAAAGTGAAAACTCTTTATCTTGCATTTGATTTGTTAAAAGCATGTCAGCAGAAGACTCAGCATTTTTAGTGGTCCAATCAAATCCAATGGTCTTTCGATGTCATATGACTGTTTCTTTTTCAAGAACGAATGTTCTTATTTATCTAAATATATCGCCAGATGTAGAATTCCAGTAAGACTATGAAACTATAACCTTTTTTAATAATTGTATGTATCATTAAAGATAGCAAGAATTAAATTTCTGCCTGATGTGTTTAACTTTTAAAAGCTGTTATACTGCTTTGAAAGTATATTTGTATAATTTGAAAACAAAATAAAACAGAACTACAATGTCCCATATTCGGAATCGGCAAGCTCGTAAAATAAATTTTTCCGTATAATAGGTCTTTAAGGTAAACAAGCGTCAAAACATCCTTATTCAATACAAATGGATGATAATTAACCTCTATTTCAATCAATCCATCTGGTTTTCGTGGTTGCGCTATTTTTTCAGATTCTTCCAGATTTCCACTTGGTTTTTAAAATTTCGTTATTTTAATCTGCCATCATCTTAAATATGATTATCAAATTCTAAGTCATGAATTTCAGTTAGTAATTGTTTCTAGATTCATTGGATTAACAATGTTTTAGTGAATCTGCTTAGTTTTGTCAATCATTTTTTCATTAGTTTTTGAAACTGATTTTCACTTGGTTTTTAAAACTATATATTGTTTTGCAAACCTAGAATAGCACATTTAGCACTCAATTATTGATAATTCAGCCGCACTCCCTGGTAGATTTACGATCACATTTTTGTCAGTTATTGCTTTGGATTTTCATAGTTTAATGTATTTTTTATCAGGAATGGTTATACAGGAAATTTCGAATGGGATTTCCGCATAGTTTTTAAAGTTTTTATTTAATTTTTTGCATTTCTATCAGTTATTGCTATAGATTTTCACAGTTAGAATAGTTTTTTTTTCTTATCTTACGCGAAAAATTTTGAATCACGCATTTGAGGACTTACTTTTTCAGGCACTTGATTTGTGACAATTTTATTGCTCATGTGGTTTTGTTGATCGCATTTTCAATAGTTTGGGATTTCCACATAGTTTTTAAAATTTTAATTTCATTTTTTATATATTATTACAATCCTCGAATTCCTAATTGCAATTTCGAATAATCACTTTATGGCCTGCTTTTTGCGAGACTCAAGTGAAACAATCCGCAATTTTTTTTCGTGCTTTTGTGAAATGCCAGATTTTGTTTTTGTTTTATCCAAAAAAAAATTTTCTGAAAAGGATAAAGAGTTGTTTATTTTGATTGTAAAAAAGTGTCTAGAAAAAAGACCCTTCCTATATACAGTCGTCCAGATATGGGACTTGATACTGTATATGCAGTTGCGGATGATTACTTAAATTCTATAATGCAATGATCTTTTCTTAACTTACAACGGAGTATAGTTACATTTGTTGAACAGTAAATAAATTTAGTCAGAAACCAGATAAAGTAAAAGAAAAGTTTATAAGATAAAAACATTTATTGTTTAAAAACTTATAAGGAAACACAAACTTACATTAAACATTTTTTCTAGGTTACTATAGTGATTATTTCAGCATAAAATAAGGAATTTCACGTTAGGGACATTCAGCATAACTAACATATCTTTGTCCTCAACATTCAAAAATATGCAAGATTTTTCTCTTTTTTTTTTCAAAAAAAAACAAAGAAAAGGAATGAAAATAGGTTGAATAAGCAAAACACAAACACTTAATGTATTTCAATTTCATGCAATATTCTTCAATTCTAATGTATTTAAATTTTTTTGTCATTTTATTTCAATTCCATGCTAATATTAGAACATTTAAAGAAATTTTCTGTTTTTTTCCCCCACATGAACGAAGCACAATTAAATGCATGCAACATAAGTTTTGAGGTAAATATATATATTTAAGGTTCTGTTACCAGCTCTTAGATTTCCATCTTCACTTTTTTGAACTTAGCTATAATCGTTATCTAAGAGCTAACTTTACAAATTACGCTATTATGTATCAACACTTCAAAAAAAAAGCCATGTTAGGAATTTTCTTTTGCTTCAAAGATAGTTCAAATCAGAAAAAAATGCAAAAAAAATTATGATTGCAGTTTTTCAACTCTCTTAAAGAAAAGGATGATTGCATTTTGAGAGTAGCTATTTAAATTAAAATGTGACACATTATTCATTTTTTTTCTGTTTTAAAATTTATGTTTTAAAGAGTCAGGAACAATGTAATTACATGAACCTTTAGGTAGGTAATGGTAGGTTAACCTTTCTTCATAATAACACTTAAATTTTTTGTTTGCTTTATTAAGTCATTATATTTCTTTTTTAGAATAATTATGAGATCCAAGGCGAAGATTTAACTAAGAATGATCATATTGAGCAAGCCATAGTAAGAGGTTTTCCCATTTTTGAATAGTATTTTTTTTTAAAAAGAAAAAACAATTGTTTGTTTTACATTTAAATTGTCTTTCTTTAATGTGTATTAGTTTTCTTCTCTTATGGTAATTGAAAGCAATATTATTCCTTTACTATTGACAGAAATCTATAAGTAGTACTCATTATGTTAGTTCTACGGAATCAGTTTTATATTTCCTTATATTGGATTGAAAAATTTATGCACTTCAATTATTAACAGGTTTGATTATTAGTTCTTTTATAAATGTTGCCGAAAGGAACTTACACATTGTTATTAAAAAAATCATACAGTGTAATGAAGTTAGATATGTGATCATAACTAAATTCTAAAATCTATATTTTATTCAGCTATTGTTTATTGTGGCATTATTTCTGATATTATTTATTTCATTTGCAGAAAACCAACTGTACAATTTACAGGGTCCATAACGTTTTTAAAAAGTGCTTATTTTTGATTTACGTTTTTTAAAAGCCCTTAAAGGTGCTTTTATTACTCAGGGTTTGTACAAAGTGCTTAATTTTCTATCTTTTGAAAAGAGATTTTTTTCTTTACTGTTTCGATTGTCATTCTAAGTTACGAAAAATGCATGATTTTCATAATTTTCTCTGCAATATTTATCGGAAACTAGTTATTTTACCATGACTATGTAAAGTTTTTGAAAATGTTTTTTCATTTTATCAATTTTATGTTTATAAATGAAGAACTTTAAGCAATAGGAAAAATAATTTTTATTACTGCACAGATCCTAATTATGATTTTCTTTTGAGAAGTGATTAAAAAATTTTTTGAGTGCTTAAAAAGTACTTTAAAGGTGCTTATTTTTTGTTAAAAAATCTGGCTTTGCACCCTGATTTATTAAACCCTTTAATTCTTAAATACACAAGTGGGCGACCTTTGTGCTAAAATACAAACTGAGGTAGTCAAAGTTAAAGAGCACAAAAATATTATTAAAAGCAGACAGCTGTTTCGGATGCTCAAAGGGCAACCTTCATCAGTGCATCAGAAAGAAATGAGAGAAAATAGGGTAAATTTATAGAGAAAGGTGACGTCACAAAGCGATTAGAGCAACGTCCAATAGGAGGGAAGGGTGAAAGGATGACGACGAATGGGAAGCAAGGAACAAAAAAAGGGGGGGGGTAGTTAGGTTTAATCATAGATTTCCAAACAGGAGAAATATAAGGAACGCTGGATAGGTCATTGACCAACAGTTTGGAATTTTTGAAAATATTATAGGACTCATAAAAATCTAAATCAAAAATTGAAGAACAATTTTGAATAACTTCTTTAATTCTTATTTTAATAATGTGATTGTTTTCCTCATATTATTTAAGACTCTATTTCCAAATTGCTGAAATTTAAAAAAAAATTTCATTTTTTTCATAGTTATTTAAACTGTTTGTTAACAAAATTTTTCTAAACTGACACACTTAATGTATTTGTAATATATCAATATTTTTTTTAAATCTTGTATTGAACAAATCAAACAATCTTTTAAATTTTCACTTAATGATGAGATTTGAATAAATTGCAAGTTGAACGGATAAAAAACTTTGCTGCTCCTTTAAATAATATATTGACAAAATGCTAATCTGAGTGGTAAAATAAAGAAATACATCGAAAACAAAATATCACTTGTCAAGATTCCGATATCTAAGCTATAAATACGTAAAAGTATGAAATACATAATTTATTATATGTTACCAAATCAGGCAAATTTTTTAACTTCGCTTAAAAGACATGATGAGATATGAATATATAGCAAGTTGAAGGGATAAAAACTTTGTGTGGTCTCTTCACTTAGCTGCTCCCTAAAATAATATGTTGACAAAAGGGTAATCTAAGTGGTAAAATAAAGAAATACATCGGAACTAAATACCCTTTGTCAAATTTTCGATATTTAAGCTATAAGTATTAAATACAGAATTTTATATAAAACCTTAATAACTTCTATCCACTTTTACCCTCTCCTCCAGATTTAAAAATCTCTGGAGGCTCCTTTCTAATCTCTATTGTTGTAAGCTTTAAATTACCTTTTTACCAAATTTGGTACTTTCAGCTGTTTTATCATCAATTCAAGTTATTTCACTTTTTAGAATACACTATTATCTAGTGATAGCTATTATTTTTTAAAATTATAGTGTATTAGTTATCGTTTTCTTTTTAGATTTTCTTTTATTAATAAACTATGTGATTTTTAGGAAATCAAATCTGATGACCGACCTCTTCCTTGTGAATATTGTTTTGAAACATTTCCTTTAAATTGCTTGTCACTTCATATGGAGACTTGTCAAGACCTTAGTGAAAAATGTCAGTTTTGTGATACTTCTGTTAAGTTCAAGGATCGATACAAACACAAAGAAACTTGCATGGTAATTTTTTGATTTTTTATACCAATTTACCACTCATAAAAATTCAAAGTAAAATACACTAATGGTATACAAATGTAATAGACAATAAAAGTTTTAAGTATTTTATTAGTTTCAGTTTTCATTGAAAACATGCTTTTTCTGATTCATGTTTTTATTTTATTTTACATATCAAATTTTCATCTGTATTTATTCGTAAAGCAATGAGTCTCTGTTTTACAATTAAAAGTATTATTAAAAATCAATAGTATTTGTGATTTTACTCAGATAAAATAATAAATATTTTTAACTCTCTACTAATTTTTCTTTTTTTATACATTTTCTCTTTCTTTTCAATTTTTATTAAAATTCGTAAAGCAAAATTCGGTTACATTTAAAGCTACTTTTTTTTGTTCAACTATTTAAGACACAGTTTATTTAATATACTCTTCCCCCCTTCAAATCTAACAGGGCATGTAGCATTTTTCTGCTTCTTTTATTCAGGTTTTGTAAAAAGTGCTTAATTTTCTATCTTTTGAAAAGAGAATCTTTCTTTGCCTTGTCGATTGATGTTCAAAATTACAAAAAAGCACGATTTTCTCAATTTTCACTGCAATATTTATCAGAAACTAGTTATTTTATCATGATTATGTGAAGCTCATGAAAATGTTTTTGAATTTTATTGTTTTTATGTTCATTAATTAAGAACTTTAAGAGATAGAAAAAATAGAAAAAATAATTGTTATTATTCCACAGATCCTAGTTATGAAATTTTTTTTCTTTGCAAAGTGATTAAAAATATCTTTTGAGTGCAGTACTTAAAAGATGCTTAATTTTTGTTGAAAAATCTGCCTACGCACCCTGTCTAAATACAATGATTCATAGATTTTTAGAAACTAATTTAAAGAAAATAATTTAAAAAACAGCTTTTTTTAATTTAATAATTTGTGTATACATAGCTTCATCCTTTAATTGTTATTTGTTAAAGTATTTAAATCTCAACGATATCTCTAACCATGTATTTCATTCCTTATTCCTCACTCTGTTTTTGTCTTTTGTTTGCGTATGTATTTGTCTTAACATTGAAGGAATAAAACTTCATGCAACTGTTTAAATATATTGTTAACAAAATGAACCACTGGTAGTCAAATTTATTTCATGTGAGAATATAAAAGAAAGCCTAAGTTAGAATCAAAAAATAGTTATTTTTAATAATTATCTCATTTGAAAAGTTTTCAGTTATTGATGATTTCTTATAGCATAAAAAATTAGTTTCCAGTTTGGAAAATTAGTCGGCAATCTGTCTTATTTTCTCATCAGATATAACCTCTTAATAATGTGAATAAAAGTTTTCTAGCCAACCCTATTTTTTATTATTTTTAATTTCCCTTAAATGAAACCATGTAATTAAATAATTATCAGAAAACTATCATTTAATCAAAAAGTGATGAATATTAAAAACTGTCTCTGAACCGTATCATTGAATAGGTTTATTTAATATGCATTCTCACTTAAAATATATTATCTTTTTAGATATTTTGTATACTTATCAAACAGGGAAAAATTAATGCACTCATTTTTTATAAAGTTATTTTTAAATTTAAGGAAAATAATCTATTGACAGACAACAGTTGACAAAAACTGTTTTGGTTTACATTTTGTCTTAAACCGGATAATTTTTTGTTTTTTAATTATTTAAACTTGACTATTTTCTTCAGAAACCATGTGATCGACTCACTATGTGCCCTTTCTGCCGTGTGAAATTCCGATCTGAATCTCTTCTTACCCATTTAGAGACTTGTACTGAACGCATTGAAAATTGCAAAAATTGTGATTTACCAGTAATGCTGAGAGATAAAAGAAAACATATGGAATCATGTAAACAGGTGATCAAAGCTGTAATATAATCTCTTAAGAAATGTTAACTGTAACTGTTTCTAATTTTATTTATTTTCTTGTGTACATAAATTTTCAATGATACCAATGATAATAAATTTCACCAAAATTTAATTTTCATCAACTTTTAATCAGATTATTATCTCTGAAACACTGATAATTATCTATTTCAAGGAAGGGTATTTTATGTTAAAGTGTTGTATGAACCCTATTCAGTCCTCTTTGTTAAAGTGTTGTGATAATTTTTAAGTGATTATTTTTAAGAGGTAATTTTTAAAGTGAAACTTTTTATTTAAAGGTAAGATAACAAAATTGATATGTGTAGCTCCAAGGGAATGTCTTTAATTAGCATCCAATAATCCATAAATGAATCCAGCACTATTATCTTCATTATGCATATGCATGTTTATTTACTTTAAATTAATAAATTATATTGTATACTTATAATTTATTAAAATCAGGAAAAAGTGTTTACTCGAAGACAAAGGTCCTATGTTATTTTATTTGCAAGGGATCTAACTCAAACAAGATAATTAAACTAGAATTACAGATATTTGACTCAAAAATTATCAATCATTAAAAATCATATAACTGGGCAGACTTTTGAAAAATTCCTATACTATCAACTGAATATTACAGGGTATTTTTGCTGCTAAAGTGATTTATAATAAATTCAAGAACATATGAGTGCTAAAACTATAAGTTGCACATGCTCTCGTAAATCATATTTATAAAATTAATTGATAAAATTATAATTTATCAGTATTTGTAGCTTAATTGAGGAATATCAAGTTTTAAATTTACGAATATTTTGTGAAATTTTTATTTCAAGTAATTAAAAATAATTCATATTTAGATTTTTTTTAAATTTTGATGCATTTTAAGGAATTTTTGAAATGGCAGGTTTTACTCCCAAGATTTCTGGGGAGGATAAAAAGAACAAGAAATAAAAAGTCCTTAAACAATATGTAATGAAATCTATCACATATTTTTTTAATATGCATTAAAATAATTGCATTGATTTAATTATTATGTAAATTAATTTAATAATTGTAAATGCCATAGAAACATTATTAAAACAACAAATTTGAAAGTAATTTAAATCGTACTGATTTTTCAATTGAGTATTGATTGTTTCAGTTAATTATTTAAGACGAAATATCATGCCAAAAAGAATTATAATTACTGTACTGTGTGTGTGTGCTGTGGTCATAAATATGTTACAGAATCTTTGTTCTTTAGTCTCACACCATCCTGTGTCTTACTTGTTCTAATTCTGTTCCTTGTATTCTACTCCCACCTTGTGATGTAACCATTAAATCTTTTCTTAAGAAATATATTTCTCTTGGTTATATTTAAGGAAAATTTTTTTAAAGTAAAGTAGGTTAGCTTAAAACTTTTTTTAAATACCTAAAGTTGATTTGTAAGTTTAAAAAAATTGGTTAAAACTAACTCTGACCATAAGTATGAAGGCCAGTCATACTTTTACTTTTGGTGTTCTCTAAAGCCAGAGAAGCTACCTATTTCTCTATCTATGTTGTTGACAAAAAGCGTGGAGTCTTGTAGCTCTCAATTATTTCCTGTTATTATTACCAAAAAAAAAGTAAGACAGAGTGCACAGAATAATAATTGGGAACCTGTTTCATTCAACAGAGATATTCAGATGAAACCGGCTCAATTGTATCACTCATTAGTCTAGAGCAGTGTTTCCCAAACGTATGACTTTTGCGTACCCTTTTTAAATTTTTCGTAGCGCTGTGTACCACTAATAAGAAAATGAATTTATTTTTTACTATAAAAAAATTGCACAAAAATTAAAAATCACAACTGGCTGTTGACACCACTAAATGTTAACTGTTAACTTTGCAAAAAATAGCCAATAGAAAAATACGTAATCGTAAGTTTTTATGGCTAGCTTTGTTTTTAAATGAAATTTTTTGAAATTTTCGTTTGTTGCAAGATATTTCGCATAAGAACGCGTACCCCCGCTAAACTGTATTCGTACCCCTGGGGGTACGCGTACCACACTTTGGGAAACACTGGTCTAGAGAAAATGAAAATAAAAGTGAATGAATAATCAAATTATTATTGTACAGTCTTTAAAATGTGTTTTATTTTTTCATTACAAAGTAGCATTCTAATTCAAATAGGAATCTGCCAAAGAAGAATGTGGAATTTGTTCTTTGTTAGTACCCAAAGATGAACTTTCTGAGCACTTTAGTAAATGTGTTGTAGAAAATTCTAATAATCCTTATTCAGAATGTGGAATGTCTACACCTCGGCCTATAGCAAGTATGATTATTTAAAAGTATAATGATTTGATATTGTCTATGCAAAAATACTTTGTTTGAAGAAAAAAAAATTCTATGTTTATTGAGCTAGAAATTGATTATGTGGGACACATTGAGTTGGATTTATTTTTTTCTAATTTTAGATTCATTATATTAAATCAACTTTAAAAATAAATTTCCTATGTTGAGTTAGATATTCATTCTTGTAAATTAACCTTCTTATTTTTAAAGCTTTGTTTTAGTTAGTGAAATTAAAAATAATTAATAAATAATTTTAAGTATGGGTGAATAAAGTTTTCTGCTGCTGCCAACAATGCTACATATTTACACCTTATTTACCTTTTCATTTGCTGAATTCTCTGAACTTACATTATATAAAATCAAGTCATGATAACACTATAAAAAATTTATTTACTTTTGAATTAAAAATAATTAAGAATACAAATATTGAACATTAACAGTTTCTCATTGGTAACAGCTAATGAAGAATAAAGAAATTTTTTTCTGTGAAAATTTTTGGAAGCGAAAACTACACTTCAGGTAATGGTCTGTCTTTACATCTGTTGTTAATTTTTTCTAGCAAATAACTATGCTAGAAATTGAAAGATATTATTTTATATAATTTCGAGTCTAGCCCATATTAAAATAATTATATTAATAGAGTAAAGTAAATTGAAGTTTTCAATTTGTGTTATTGAATACTTTTTCATAATTGTATTGTAATTTTAGGTTGTACAGATGATTCTAAAGTTAAAATGCATACTGAGGGGACAAAAGTAAGTATTTCTTACAATGACACTGTTATTTGTATTTTACATTTTGTTCTAAGCAAACTTTTAATGATAGAGCATTATACCATTCAAGAGCATTAAACCAATTTAGAATTTTTTTAAAAAATTGCAAAGGAAATCTTGTTATTATTTAATTGATAAATTGCATAATTACTTGAGCTTACGATTTATCTTTATCATCTGAGCTTTTTATGCTAGGGAATAAAAAAAAAATTTACATTCAATAATTAATTTAAAAATTGTTAACTGTTAAACATGTCGTAAAAATACCAAGTGTGGACCTTAGCAACATGTTTAAATGCAATATAGTTTACATTTGATGTGCTGAAAGAGACCTTTTAGTTTATGAACGTTAATCAATTTTATTTTATTCAAAATTTTAAATTTGTTTGAAAACTATGAAGTTTTAAGTGGGTTTTTTTTTCATAATTTTTTTTCTACTTATCCATTGTTGTTGGATAATTTATTTATCTCTATTAAAATCTTTATTTTACAAGCTCTAGCTTTAATTTATGTCAAAAGTATATAAAGAAAGGAGATTAGATATTGTCAGTTACGAAACTTAACATTTATATTAAAATTTTTAAAAATATAAACTTATCTAAGTTATGAAATTCCTTGCCAATTTTAACCGTGAAAATGATAATCATATCCTTAACAAGTAAAATTACTTCTTATTTATTTCTTCTTATTAATCGCACATTCTCTGTTCTTAAGTCCTACATTGTTTGCTACCATACTTACGTCTGTAAGCCTCGTGTTGTACTTTTACAGTGGTGCACGAGGAATCTTTTTGTTCTTGAATAAAAACAAAAAAAGTACTGTTGATTATTTTATGTCATGATAATATTTCATTTTCGTATGATTAATATTTTAACAAAATGTTCAACTTTAAATGATAACAATTATACATTTTACTAGAAAAATGAAAAAAAATTTTTGAAAAAAATTTACTTTAAAAAGAAAAAAAAAATATCATTGAATGAGAAGCAGTTACGTTGAGCAATCCAAACAAGTACTGGAACTTCCTAGCAATAAAAGAAAATGTTGAAGGCAACACAAAGTTGAATACATATTTGTTATTAAATATACTGAAATTTATATCAGCCATATCTGAAGTTTTATTTTAAACAGACTATAGATTGTTTAACTTATTTATCTTAATTTTTTCTTAGCTTTAAAATATTTTAGCTAAGCCATATTTTTATTTTTTGTCACTTCTAAAGTTAGATTGAAAAAAAAATCTAAGACTCAGTCTGAAAGTATATACAGTCAATTCGCTATAACTCAAAGTATGATAACTCGAATATTACTATAACTCGATTTTTTTATGAGGTCCCGACCCTTTTATCTTCAATTCCGTGTTAATTATTCTCGATTACTCGAATTTTACTCCCTTTAACTCGATTTTTTTTTTATCTTTTAAAGCAAGAAAAGAAACCTAGGAGCTGATATCTTGCTCCTTCCTTTGAAACACACACGCAATGTCTTTCGCACTCTTCATGGAGAAGCTAAAGCTCTCCCTCTAGAAGTATGTGAACAGTGGTTAAATGAAACGTTACCAAATTTATTTCAAGGATGCAGTTAAAATGATGTTTTCAATATTGATGAATTGGGTTTATTTTTTAAATGTCTTCTAAATAAGACTATGATGTTTAAGGATGAAAACTGCTCAGGGGGGAAAATGAGCAAGGAACGTTTGACTGTCCTAGTTGGAGGACAGTCAAGGAACCTAGAATGACATCAGTTTTATTTGAGGACTATGTAAGAAAATTGGATCGGAAATTCTTCGCTAAAAAAAGAAAAGTGATACTCTTTATGGATAAATGCACAGCACATAGTGATCTACCTAATTTGAAAGCAGTAAACTTGCAATTTCTTCCGCCAAACACAACAGCAAAGTTGCAGCCGATGGACCAGGATATCAGAAAGTGCTTCAAACAGTCTTATCGTAAATGGCTTGTCAGAAAAATGATCTATAAGCATTAATTAAATAATCCGACAATATTTTGAAAGTCCAAAACCGAAACTAACTGTAAGTCGAACTTCCAATATGTCGAAGTTTTTCGTCCGTCCTATCAAATTCGAGTTATCGCGAATTCAATGTACTAACTCATGTTCCTTCATGACAGAGTGATTTTATTCCAAAAAATGGCAAAAACATTAATCATTTTGAAATATTCCCTACATGCAACGTGTATTAAAATACAATATGCATACATTAATTTAGAAGATAAATATCAACCTTGTCCATAAAAGAAGTGTACCCATATTATTTGTTTATGAAAGTAAAGATCAAGAAATTTTTCATTAGTTTGCGTAGAGATTTTGAAGCGTTTTTCTTCCGGAGTTGCAGGCATACTACTAAATAAGATTGGAAAATAAATTTATTCAAAAGAGTAGCTTCAAATTTTAAGAATCTCTCTGAATGGAACCATACATGGCATGTGGACGTGCAACTATATAATTCAACTGTGGTTACTCTTATTTTAACTTACAAATTAGACATGTTATTAACACACATTTTACTTTCAGACAAATTTATATCCTTCAATAGGAGATCTTTTGCTGTGCCCATACTGTTCCATGAATTTTCTCCCAAAGCGTTTTGACAATCACAAGAAATACTGCAAATCGGCATTAGTAGAATGTCCTATTTGCCAAGACATTTATCACATTGAAGAGAAAGAGGAACATAGAAAGACTTGTGATGCATTAGATTCTGTACTAATTCCAGAGAGTGACTTGAAATGTACTACTTTTATTTTATGTTCTGTTTTCACTTTTTTCCTGGTGTTTAGATTAAGTCATGTTTTATTATCTTTCCATTTATTTTTATGGTTTCTCTATGTTTTGTGCATTAACCCTTATAATCTTTTTTTTTTTTTTTTGTTCCAAGTGTTTGAACAGTTGTAAATCCCTTCTTATTTAACTTTTTGTTGTTTTGTTTTTCTACTGTCTATTTGTTTTTAATAGATTCTTATTTTTTGATAGTTATTGTAGTTAAAATTATTCACAAGTTTATCGTCATTCCTTATCCATTTGAGAAATTTGAAAAATGTTGAATCCGCAAAATTGAGAATTATTTATTTGAAAGTTTTTTATCTTATTTTTAAATTTATTTCTCTTTAAAAATGGCTTCAGGTTGTGGAATAAAAATTCCGTCATGCTATAATCTGTACACTTATTCAAATATTTATCATGAAAATATTGTTTCATGTTTTTAGTTGTATTATTAATTATATTTTCTGTTGATTTATGGAAAGTAAGTTCTTACTTGAATAGAAAGTTGTGAAAGTTTCATTTGTTCTTAAATATATTGATTTTTGTGCTAAACGTATAAAGACTTGTTTAAGTTCGTTATAATGAGACACAGCTGCCAACTACTACATTTTATTAAGACCAGACGGCGCTTACCAGCGGCCACCTTAAGTCTCTTTCTTTCGAGGGTAGAGTTAAAATCGTCCCAAACTGCCCCAGGTGCCACATCATACAGGTTCTCCCCAATGTATCCTGAACTGAACAAAAGGGACATTCCTAATAACCCACTTTTGGTGGCTGACTTCCTCCGGGTCATGAATTTCATGCACATTGTTTAGCCCTGCTAATTGTGGGGATAAGGAAGAAGACATTTTATTAAAAATATTTATGGAGTGGCAAACAATTAAAAACTAAAGATTTCAGAATTCTGTGTAATTTTGCCAATATTCAAAGGCCTTACCTCAAGATTACCAGAACAAGGTAGTGTTTCATATGAACTTTTGAATTATTTTCATGTGGTGTGGAAAATAACTTTAAATCGAATTTACAAAACAAAGAATCATTAATCAAAACAAACGTAGCTACCACTAGAGGAAATTTGCCCAAAATCGGTAGGAAGTTTGCAGCCCTGTAATCAGACATTTTTGCTGTAGAAACCATCTTTTCACATTAACAATAGCATTAGTTACATTTTGATTTTTTTTCTTATCTTCTTAATGACCTGTTGGCAGAAATGAATTGTTGAAATTTATAATCAGATTTAAATAGGTAACATGCATGAAATGATATTACTTTGTTGTAGCACTATTGAGTATATCTAATTAATTTTTTATTTAGTGGAATTGCAGAATAAGTTTGGAACTTTACGTTCAGAAGAAAATCTGAGAGTGAGTATTGCTATCAGTTTAATTATCTTTTATTTTTTAAAATAAAAGTTGTGATTTTTTTTGAGAAAAGAATGTTTTACGAAACTTAATTTCATTATGTATCATAGAGAACAGTCTTACAAGCTCAGAATCGCATTTTATTTTACTCTGCATTCTGGTAGTTTCAACATCTGAATAAGTTTCATAACTTTCATATAAATGTTTGGAGGAATTTATATATCTTTACTAAAATTGCTTGGTTAAGAATTACTAACTGTGACTAGTTAAATATAATTTTGTGACAATTTGATGTGTGCCATATATTTCCGAATGTAAGCTGAGAAGTTTTAGAAAATTTTTGAAAGAAATTTAAAGTGGGGCAGTTGGCTTATAATCTGATCCACTAACTTCAAAAAATTCCAGGATGACATCACCAACAGGATTGCTTCTCCTTTCGTTAAGCACCAGCGATAATCAGTAAATATTGCAAAACATGCATTCATAACATAAAAATAACAGTTGAAAACGTAATGTCTAAATGTAACTTTTAAAAGTGAAAAATATGAAAACGACAAATTGAAAGAAATACTATCATTTTTTTAATATTCTAGTTTACCTATTTTTATTTCTATGCGAATACATAAACAAAGAAGAACGAGCACACTAAAATCCAATAAACTCTTTATCAGAATCTGATTCTTCCTAAAGTTTGGTAAATTCCTGTTCAGTCATCTGAAGATCTGGATTTAATAAATTGTCCAGTTGTCTTTATTTTAACTTGTGTCTTCATACGCAAATTGAACTTCAATGTGACATTTTTTAAAAGATCTAGTTAAGACATGAGTAGGTGTATGCTTCTTTTACCCTTTGTGCAACTGTTACTAAATCTACTGTTAATACAAAAGAGAGGGTAAGTATTTATTTTCAAGCGTAGCATATCTTATTTTGTCATTTCGACTTGCACACAAGTTTTGAATTTTGGGGGAATTTCCAAATAAAAAGCGCACTTTTTGGCTTATACACTGATGGGCTTATCGGTGATTGCTTATTTTTGTTGACAAATCTCTTTACATAAAATATTAAAAGATTTTAAATAACTAGTTTTTTTTATTTATTTACATTTATGGAAAAGCCTACTTTTTTGTTTCGATAATATGGATTGGTCTCTTCATTGATGCAACAAATCATAAAGACTTCAACAGTGTCATTTAAATTTAAGAAAACACAGTAAAATTTAAAAATTGATTTTAAAAATGTTACGAGCTTTTTTTGATATTTATTTATAATAATATTTGTTGATAAATTGTTTTAAAATGTTATTAAAATACATAACTTTTCTTATGAAGTTTTTTCCTAATATTTTAGTTTGTTATTATAACCTCTCTTTTGATTTTCTCGTTTGTAATTGACAAATGTTTAATTTTCTTTATGTGATTTTCAAACTATTACTTTTGCTGGCTATACTAACTTTATATGTGTATTTTAGGAAAAGGAAGCATTATATGAACAATGTCCTTTTTGTGAGAATAAAATACCTGAACGTTCTTATTCTAAACATTTACTAACTTGTTCTCTGTCTATGAAACAATGTCTTCTTTGTAAACAAGATTTCCCTAAAGGAAGTGAAAGAGATCATTTTACTGTGTGTCCAAAATTAATCAAGATGAGTTCAAAATCTGGTCAAGATGAGTTTGTTTATGGAGGTATTATAATTTAATTTTTTTAGTAAAAGTTTTCTTATGTTTCTGATTATTCTTATATATATCTTTCAAGCTAATTGGAAGATCTAGCTCTTTGCAAACTGCTGACGTCACTTAACAGTGTGCTTACAGAGTTCACTACAATAGGTGACAAAGAAATGACAAATGTCTCCAAAGAGCTGAATTTTCTAATTGGCCTGCAGCACAAAAATCTAATGTGATCTCTCTTAGAAAGTCAAATGTGGTAGAAAAACACATTGAATCGTCTATTAGTGTGGGATTTTTGTAACTCAAACAAGGATATTTCAAAAAATTGGAAACAAATCAAACTACCTTTAAAATGTAGCATTCTCACAACAGCCAGTTGTGGAAGTAATGGTAGTTAGGCTCTGTTATTTCTTGATCAACAACATAATTGTGGTCATTTGGTCAACATTAAACACTAAACACTCTTACTATAAAGTAAAGCTGATACCTATCTATTTGTAGCTCGGTGGGTTATAGCCTTGACTAACGATCAAACTCCTGTCTTTCATAAAAGCTGTTATCTCCATTCTCAAATTAACATTAATGCCCTAAGAATTGCTTATTTAAGTTTTTATTTTTGATGAATTCACAATCATACACTGAGAAATGGTGAATATTTATTTAACTTCCTTAAAATTAAAGGGCATTTCCTTTTTGTGGAATAAAAAAATTTCTTACTTGTCAGAATCAACAGAAATAAGATGTTATTCTTCATTTATTTCAATAACGTCATGATGAATAATGTGGGCATTCACAATCGAGGTCATCAGTAATATGTTTTTCCACCACTTTTTGGATGTGCAATCCATCTCGAAGCAGGTTCCTAGTTGGTTAGAGAGGTCAACCCTCCCACCTATGAATTTCTTGTAAAACATTACCATTGACAGACAAGAGAATTCCTTCTGAAATCCATCTTTTAGAGTTCTAATCACAGTAGTTAATTCATTTGGTATGACAAAAACCTACGTGTTCATCCATTGGTCAGCAATTATTCTCTTTCTTTCCGCAGTCGGGCACCCTGGTGTACTTTTTCATCTTTTTATGTAGGTGCCGACGCATCCATGAGACAAAATGGACATCAGATTCACAGAAATGAGGAATCTATTGAAACAGGTATGATTTTGGGAGTCTCACCCTTTATCGTAGAAACAAGCTTTTTCACAAAGCATTTTCTTTCAGTTACTTTGCTCACTAAAATTTTCTTCTTAGCGTAAATGCAGCAGTTGTATAAGTATCCTGTTTTGGAATCACAGCGTTCCCTCACTTTTATACCTCTCTTTGCTGATTTCAAAGCTTGGTACTGCTTCAGATTACTCATTCCCTTGAATTTTATCATTGACTCATCTACTGACTTGTGCTGTCAGTGAAACTCTTGAGAAAAATGTGCTTCAAACAGAAAAATTACTTCCTCAATATAATATAAATTAGAAGCATACAGAAAATTTTCCGAGAATTGAGGTGAAATCCGTACTTATCACTTATTGAATGGCTTCACTTCTCTGCGAACTACTGACTTACCAATGAGCTTATGCTCGACATTTCCCTAACAACTTTCATGATTTCGAATTGGTTAGTCTTTTGAGGTGTTTCGCCCTTTGACTGCCTAATTATAAACTTGCTTCCGAGTTCTTCATTTGGCATTTTTATCCTTTCGTTTTTACGATAGGCGATATGAAAGCATAAGCTTTTGGGAAGCATCTTAAAGTAAAAATCCAATTCAGTCACTTTATCATCAATAGAGAAATTTGTTTCTTCCTTGATGTAGTTAACTAGAGGCATACATGGTGTAAAGTTACTTATGCTACTGTAAAAATAATGGCAGATTCTGAAGCTCATCATCTTCAAACAAATCGTTGTGATTGTGTGGGACAACTTCATCATAGCTCTTTTCTTGGATGATTTAAAGTCAGCATATTCAGATTAAGAAGTGTCACAAAAAAAGCAAGTTATCTCAGTTTGTCATCAGAGTAAATTCTCACTTGACTCAATATTGAGAAAAGGGAAGGAGAAAAACAAAACAATTATATTTAAAAATCTTAAGAGGTGCTTGTTGGAATAGAATGATGAATAAATTGATGTAAGGAGTCAATCGCTGAGCACGATTGCCCATTGTCACTTGTTTGATCACCAGGGAACAATTGATATAAGAAATTCATGGGCTCATTATGTGTTTTGCGGTGCAACTTAAGGTTTTCTGTGCCAAATTTTTTTCAGTTACTGGGACCTGCCCCAGCTGTAATTTCAAAATCTTTCAAGGCTAGGACATCATGTACCCTGTCCAGTGTAAGAAAATTAAAAAATAATCAAAAAAATTTTTTTTAATTTTTTAAAAATATTAAGTAGAAATATATTTTTTTTTTTGGGTCTAGTTAGAAGAAATTGAAATAACGTTTTGGGGTACAAATAACTGTCCGGTAAGAGGAGTGTTCGCCACACAGTGAAGGTATATAATGGTTTATTCATAGAATATTCATGGGAAATTTTTACAAAAATCTGTAATGAGAGGAATATATTTTCAGAAGCTTCCGCAATGAGTGGTTTTACTGTACAATTTTTTGAAAGTGAGACCCTTGTACAATACCCGCCGTTTATTAAAATCACTTTCGTTTTATGCTTTTTTGATTTTATTAAGAGGCGATTCAAAATTTGAAGAAAAAAAATCTAATTTTTATGATATATTCTAAATGCACACACTTTAAAAGCTGAATTAATGATGACATTAATGCTTTATTTTCACTAATTTAATTATTTTAATTAAGTAAAACCCTACGTAAGATTAAATTTACAAAATTTTTGCAAAAAACTGATCAATGATTGCTTGAGTTGCAGTATTTACAGGGATGAGATTTTTCCGCTTTTTAGCGGATTTCCGCTTTTTTCACTTTTATCTCTTGAATTTCAGTTTTTTTTATCAAAAATTCAGATTTTCTAAAAATTTCACTTTTTTTTATAAATATTCCGCTTTTTCAGAAAATTCAAACTACATAGCTACCAATCCTTTCTCATTTTTACTTATTATAGCTATTTTCTCCCCTTTTACTCGCAGCAGATAAGATTTTCCGAATTTTTTACCCGCCCTCCAGATAGATCCGATTTTTGTAGTCCAAACGACGGTGCTTCTGACAAGCCTTTTAGAAGTCCCAAGCCTGGAATCTGCTAATATCTCGATTCTTATTCACACGATTTTAATATCAAACATAGCTTTTCATATTTGCGTGTTGCTTTTCTTATTCACGCGATTAGAGTATTGTGCGTTGCGATTCTTATTTACGAGATTTAAAAATCCGATATTGTGATTCGTATTTACGCCTTTTTAAAAACCTATGTAGCGATTCGTATTTATACGTAATTTTAAAAAAGGCATTGGGATTCACATTCACGCATTCTGAAAATTATGCATCATAATTTTTATTTATGCAATCTAAAAATTACGCATCATGATTCGTATTTACGCGATCTAAAAATTATGAATCGTGATTTGTATTTACGCGTTTTAAAAATTCTATATCCTAGTTTTTATTTCCTCATTTTCAAAATCGTATATCTAGTTTCATATTCATGTGATTTCAAAATCCATAATTGTTATTCATATTCACGCAATTTTAAGATCAACTATCGCGATTCTTGTAAGAAGTAAATTTTTTTTTAAATTAGTTACTATAAAGGTGACTGTTTTTCTAACGACGATTATTAGTATATGTAAGTGTTACAACACCAGAGAAACTGGAAGGGAATATATTCAAAACTTACATTCTGTTACAAAAACTTACATTCAAAACTTACATTCTGTTACATTCATTACAAAGAAGAAAAAATAGGATTTGTCACAAGATGTTTGAAGATGGACTAACGACTAAATATAGCAAACAAAAGCAATCACTTAAAAAGGGATTTAATAAAAAAAAAATTTGGAAAAAGAGTTAATTAACTCATCAAAATTTTATTTATAATTGCTGCTATTTATGCTATAAAAGGCAAAATTCTTATAAAATAAAAAACAATTATCTAAGCAGTTGCTGATTGTCATGTAATTTTTCAAACTAAAATAGCAATTTTTGTTAAGGAGTTACTATATATTTCTACTTCACTGTTATTGATATGTTTCTAACAGCTCTAATTAGATTAGACTATAATATGAACATAATGGTTCGGTCCATCCTTAAAGTTTTTTTTTCCAATATAATTTAAAAAGTAATATTACTGATATATTTGCTTTAAATCACATAAAAGTATTTATTAAAAGAAATGAAATATTAATGTATATTCTCAGTAGTTTTAATTTGCTGAACCAGGTAGTTCTACAAGTAATAATTGTCTCTTATGTGAACTGAGGAAAAATATAATTTCTACCTTTATTTTTTCAATTGGTAATTTTTGTTTTCACTAAATGTTAAGTATCAATGTAATCATTTATATAATAATAGATTAGTACACAATTGTATGTCAACACATTATTTATTACCTTAAACTGTCTGGAATTTATTATTAAAGGGTTGCGCTTGCGTAAAATTTACTATCGTGGAAATTCAGCTTTTTTGCCTTTTGGCTAATCTCATCCCTGTATTTAAAATTAACTTTTCAACATCATTTGAGAGTTTATAGAAGTTTTTATAGTTTTCGATATTTCCTCTTCTTTGTTCTAAAGCTTGCCGCAATACATTAAGTGCTTTTCTGACTTCCATTGAAGATGGCACTGATGAGTTTATTTCATCTTCTGAGTCTGATTCCTCCATTTCTCGATTGGAAATAACTTTGCAATTTTTGATGTCTGTAACAATTTCAGAATCAAATTTTTTTCCTGATGTTTGCAGGTTATCGTCAATAGCTATGAACATGACATGAAACATGAAAAATTCTCGTCCATTTCATTTTCTTCATTACTGAGCATTTCTTCAAAACAGTTATCAGTTCCATCGCCAGTGCTTAATTCACACTTTTTAAAGCAATTTGATATTGTTTGGGTTGAAACAATGTCCCATGAGTTACGAATCAAATGCATTGATTCCAAAATAGTAAGGGATTTTGATAGTTTGTTTGCAGTTAAGAGTTCCGAAGAGCTGTCACAGTCTATGTCACTTATGATTTTTTGAACAACCATTTTTCTGTAATGAAACTTGAATGATCTTATGATTCCCTGATCAAGGGTTGAATAATAGCTGTAGTTTTGGGTAGCAAAAACACTAATTTAATGTTTTTTAAAGGCAAATCCTCATCAGCAGGGTGAGCAGAACAATTGTCTAAAAGTAAGACGACCTTTTCCTTTTTCAGTTCCTTGTCCCATTCAAGAAGAAATTTTGTGAAGATGCTGGATGTGCGTTATAGCTGTTGGCATAACTGGTGGGCAGGTGTTTTACTCCTTTAAAACATCCAGGTTTTAAACTCTTTCCTATCACTAAAGGTTTTTTTCCCCACAGTTCCTGTCACGTTGCATGTTACCAGCACGGTTAGTCTTTCCTTTATTTTTTTACACCCACCAGTCGATTCATTTTTGAACAGCAGTGTGTGTTCAGGAAGTGCTCGGAAAAATAATCCTGTTTCATCTGTGTTGAAAATTTGCTCTGGTTTTTAGTCTTTGATGAGTGTTGGCCACACGTTGTTTACCCAATCGGCGGCAGCATCTTGCTTTTCACTGTACAATTTACGATAGACAATGTTGCTGCGGTCTTTCCATCAGGTTAGCCACCCATCTCTAGCTTTAAAATCAGAATCACCAAATAAGTTAGCCAAGTCCTGTGCTTTGTGAAATAAAATTCCTAGGGAAATTAGAATTCTTCGTTCGTGTGCATTTTTGAACCATTCTAACAGAGCCATTTCAATTTCCTCCGATTTTTCTTCACGCTTACGCTCTCTTGACAGATTTCCATTCTTTTTCATTTCCTCGGAAATATGTATCCTTTGTTTCAGAATGTTGAAAAGAGCAATTTGGGAAATCCCTAATTTAATTGAAGCTTCACATTGACTACATTTAGGAAGAAAAGCTATAATGATTTAGATTTTTCTATCTAGAAGCTTGAGCTCTGGGAAGAGCCATAAAATGTGACAGAATTCTTAACTTATTAATTAATATGAGCCTTTTTTATGTAATTTACTTTTTGTGCTTTCACTGTTATTTTACTTAGTTATTTCCCTGCAACCACCATTATTGTTTCTTTCCTTTATTGTAATTACTTAATATTTACTTTTTGTTTCTCTATAAAATTATAATATTTGGCATAAAATTATATTATCCAAGCACACAAAACTGATTTTTTCTGTAAAATGAGAATAAATGTATGTTAATATAAACTCTAAACTGCGCCATAACAGTAACAATTGTTGTTCTGAAATAAGTAAAAATGATTCTGTGGAATAAATTTTCGAAAAAAAATTTTTTTTCTTCATATTTCTAGTATTATATTTGAATTTGTGATAAATATTTCCAGCAATTTGTTAAAATTTGCTGATTGTTTACTAGTTTAGCATTTAAAAATTGCTTTTCCCGAAAATGATGGACTTAATTTATATGGTGTTTTATGTTGCAGGTTTCTCTCCAAGCGATTCTAAAACAAAAGTATGTTATCTAATTTATCTATCTTAATTTTACTAATCTAATTGCTATGTCATTTGTTCTCTTTTGCATTAATGTATTTTAATTTTCATTGTAATTGTGTTGTATTTCCATAATAAACAGCATGTTTTTCATGCTAAAAATATGCCGGGTATCCACGCACCTGGAAAGTCATTGAAAATCATGCAAATTCAATGATTTCAACCTTGATTGAAAATTGTGGAAAATCACAAGTTTCAGTGATTTATGCTAAAAAATCATGGAAATTTCCAGTTCATTATAGGTTTGGAGTATTGGAGCCCTTAGTCCTGTTAAAAGGGTTTGAAAATTTAGCATTGCGATTTGTATTGATATGATTTAAAAATAGCATATCATGATCTGCATTCGCGTGATTTAAGAATCCCTCATTACAATCTGAATTTGTGTAATTTAAAAAATTACACATCCTGATCCGTATTTGTGTTAATTTAAAATCACACATAGTGATCCTCATTTGTGCGATTGAAAAATCCCTCATCACGATCAGCATTTGTTTGATTTAAAAAGAGCACACAGTGATCTGTATTTGTGCTAATTTATCATCTCGCATCGGAATTTGTATTCACTTAATTTTAAAAATACACAGCGCCTTTGCTATTCACATGATTTAAAAATTATTTGTTACAATCCATATCCATTACATTTAAAAATTTACATATCGTGATCCGCATTCTTGAGACTTAAAAATCCTTCATCACTTTATTTGCGTGATTTTAGAATCAAACATCGTGATCTGTATTTGTGCGGATTTATAATCACACATCGTGATTTGTTTTCACATGATTTTAAAAATGCACCGTGAGATTCACATTCTTAGATTTAAAATCCCTTATCGCAATCTGCATTTGTGCGATTTTTAAAAATGTTACCTTGATTCGTATTTGTGTAATTTAGAAATTGCACATCACGATTTGTATTAATGTGATCTAAAGCGCGATCCATATTTTTTCGATTTAAAAACCACTCTTCTGGATCGGAATTTGTGATTAATGTTTGTCCGATTTAAAAATAATCATGCATCGAAATCGGCATTCATGTAGTTTGAAAAATCATGCATTGTAACCAGTATTTGCGCGATTCAAAAATTACACATCACTATTTGAATTTGCATGAATTTAAAAGTACATAGTGTGATCCGTATTCATAAAATTTAAAAATTCCTTCAAGGAGATCCATTTGTGCAATTTAGAAATTACTGATCACAAACCGCATTTGTAGGATTTTTTTTAAAAATTACACATTGTAATCCGTATTAGTGTTATTTAAAAATCACATAGTGCAATCCATGTTTAGGTGATTTTAATCATACATCATGATTTGTATTCACGTGATTTAAATATCACATGCAGTGATCTGTATTCATGCAATTCAAAGAATAATGTAATAAAATCAAATTTCATATGATATAAAAATCACACTTCGATATATTTAATCACAATACAGTGTAAAGTCGCGTATCCGGAATCGGTGGGACTTCCAGAAGTCCGTATAATAGATTTTTCCGTATAATACACCCCCAAGGTAAACAAAGCTTGAAATGATTTAATAAACGATCTGAATCTAAGAAGCAAAAAATAAATAAACACTATTTTTAAGGGGAATAATGTTTTAGCATTAAAATATCTAATCAATCAAATATAAAATATTAGAAAAAAAATATTATTGCTGAAAATATGGAAAACGAAAAAAATGTAACTGTTACGAAAATATTAATCCGCCATTTTGAACTAGAACAATTCAAGCAGGAAGGGGAAATTCTGGAACAAAGCTTAAAATGACCTAAATCTAAGAAGCAAAAAATGAATAAACATTATTTTTAAGGGGAATAATGTTTTAGTATTAGAATATCTAATCAATAAAATATGAAATATTAGAAAAAAAATATTATTGCTTAAAATATAGAAAACTAAAAAAAATTGACATATGAAAATAATAATCCACCATTTTTAACTAGAATGATTCAAGCAAGAAAGGGAAATTCCCGTCGTTCATTAAGGTGGGTAGATAGAGGATAAAAATTCATTTCCTCCTTATTTGTGAAAGAAAATAAGTGTAAAGAGATCATTTAAGTNGTAACAAATTATTGTTTTCTCTCCAATCATTGGCTATCAATCAAGCATAAAGGCGGGACACGCTGATCGGGTTCTCTTTATTTTTTCTTTTATGACTGAAAGAATCTGCTAAAGAAAGAAAGTTACCCCCTTTTCCCCCCGCCTCCTAAATATTACTTGGTATGGGGAAGAACGAATGTTTTGTTTCTCAAGGACGTGTATCCTTTTAGACCTATTCAAATTTTCCATTCTGACTCCCCCTCCACCTTAACGCTTGCCCCGTTTACCCTTTTCCACAGTATTTCTTCTTTCAATAAAAAGGTTCCAGGAAATGCCTCTTTTACTAGCCACCTGCATGGGAAAGGAGGGGGGGAGGGGACTCAGTTGCGGTCTTTTGAAAACAAATCTCCCTCTTTTTCCTACATTCCAAGGGAGGAGCGACACTAACGGTCACTCAATGGTCTTGGTAGATCTTCACTTCCCCTTTCTGGTGATTTATGGGTTCGATGCATAAATCAGAGGTTCAGTGCAAGCTAGAAAAAGAGAAAATGCGTCAAAAGATTTTTTTTTTCTTTTTTTTTTAGGAAAGGGGAAGATGGAGAGATGTTTGTTTATTTTGATTGTTAAAAAGTGTCCGGGAAATCGACCCTTCCGGGAAAGGGACGTCCGGGTATGGGACGTTACACTGTATTTCAAAATCACAATATTATATCGCATGATTTAAATATAAGCAGCGATTCGTGTTTCCGCGAATTAAAAAGTCGCAATGTAATATAAAAATCATTGTAATTCGTATTCATGGGATTTAGAAATTTTTCATTATGGACTATTTTATATTAACGATTTATTATCCTATGTCAACGTGAAGTGTTTAAAACTGTAAAATTTTTGGTAAGACTAATTTTTGACAATGCTGGTTTTGGTTTAAACATTTTTCAAGTTAATGATTTTTAATTGTTTAAGATTTGAAATTTATTTTAAAATTTAATTTGTAATTTATTTTGTTTTCATTTGACATAAGCATCTCTTTTTCACCATATATATATATTTAGAATCTTATATTTATGTCAAATATGTAGCCGTTTCTTATGATATAAATATAATCTTAATAAAGAAAGCACAAAATTAAAAATAGATCGTTTGAAGTTTTTGTGTTTAATTATAAGAATGTATTTACGTGACTGGTTAAATCTAATACCATAAAATTTAATAAACATATAATTAATATATTTTTATTTTTTATATGTAGTTATATTAAAATTATATATTTTATATTAAAACTAAAAATTTATTGTACAAAAATGGCTTAAGCCTAATAAATATTGAAAATTTTAATAAAACTTAATTTTACAAATGATTTCAGTTTAAAATATTTTGAAGTTAATATTTCTGTTTTTTGTATAACATATTTTTTTATTTAGTTTGAATTTTCTCTCTCTCTATATATATATATATATATATACATATACATAAATCTCTTGTCGCAGTTTTAGTGTTTAAACTCATCCGAAACGGCTTGACCGATTTTGATGAAATTTTAAATTTATATTCAGTAGGTCTGAGAATAAGTTTAAAACTAATTTTGTTTTCATTTTTTGGGCAGATTTAACGTATATTTTAAATATATCTTTATTTAATCGTAAAATAATATTCACGCACGTTGCAACAAGTCATATTAAACTCTAATACTTATGCACGCCCTTAAAAGAAGAGAATCAAATATATTTGCAAATATGTGAACAAAGGCAGTGATATGGCAATATTTTGAGTTGAAAATACCAATGTGACTGCTCTTCCAGTGAATAACAACGACGAAATAACTCTGTACCAAATAGGCGGGTACTCCAATGAGCTGTTGGCATATCTTTGGTTTCCTAATTCATGAATGGGATCCAACCGTTATTCATTTAGCCGTTCATCTTCAAAACGGTCGGAGCTTATATTTCACAAATGAGACGGCGATTGACCGAGCTATAAATCCACCAAAAACTACACTCGATGCTTTTGGTGCCTTTGCACGGACATTACTTTACTCAGAAGTACTACCCTATTTCGCATGAGTTTTAAAAAATGGACACCCCGCAAGCAAGGCACACAGGTTGCTGCATGTCCTGGTTTATTCAAATCAAATGCCTTGGGAAGAATATTTACAGTCAATCCAAGGCAGACTGAGTGCTTTTATTTTCGACAGCTGTTGGTTAATGTCACCGACTCATTGTCATTTCAAGATATACGTAAAGTCGATGGACATCAGCATCCAACGTATAAAGATGCATGCTTTGCACTCGGCTTGCTGGAAGACGACAACCTGTGGGAATGTATGCTTGCTGAAGCAGCATTGAACTGTTCTGCAAAGCAAAACCGTTTACTATTTGCTATAGTATTAACTACATGTTTCCCGGCCCGTATAGAAACATTATGGGATAATCACAAAAATTCGATGACTGATGATATACGGTATCAACATCGCACACGTTGCAACGATAGCATTCAGCGACGCTATGCACACTGATTGCTAACGAGGATCTTTGCATTATTATTGCCAACTTGCCACTCAGTCATTTCGGTATGCCTTCGCCAAATCGAAGTGCATCTGATTTATTAAACACTGACATGAATCGTGAACTTCAATACAATACGATAGAAATGGAAGCAATTGTTACTCGCAATGATCCACTAATGAATGAGGAACAAAGGAACATTTATGACTGCATTATGCTCGCAGTTTCGGCAGGACAAGGTGGATTTTTTTTTTCCTGATGCACCAGCTGGAACTGGCAAGACATTAACTATTTTGCTAATTCTCGGTGAAATACAATCAAATAATGGCATCGCGTTGGCCATTGCATCATCTGGCATTGCGGCAACTTTATTGGATGGAGGCAGAACAGCTCATTCAGTATTTAAGATGCCAATAAATATCCAAAACAACTCAGATGCAGTGCGCAACATAAAAAATATTTCGTCTATGGCCACAGTGTTGAAACACTGCAAAATTATCATCTGGGATGAATGCACTATGGCACACAAACATTTGCTTGAGGCGTTGAACAGGACATTGAAAGATATAAAAAAAACAATGACAAATTATTTGGCAGCGCTCTGTTACTCCTTTCAGGTGATTTCAGACAAACACTTCCCGTCATTCCGCGTTTAATGTACGCTGATGAGATCAATGCTTGCTTGAAATCATCTCCACTGTGGGGTAATGTTGAAAAAGTTCTACTAAAAGTAAATAAGCGCGTCCAAATGCTTCAAGATCGATCTGCTGAAACATTCTCAAAACAATTGTTAGAGATCGGTGATGGAAATGTTACTAAGGATGAGACTGGATACTTAAAATTACCGGACGATTTCTGCACAATCATTGATTCACAAGATGCTCTCATTAGCCTAATATTTCCCGATGTACACACGCAATGAATTCATCATGAGTGGCTGGCAGAAAAGGCGATCTTAGCAGCAAAAAATGTAGACGTCAACTAATTGAATCTGTAGATGCAATAGTTATTGCCAGGTAACTTGGTGACATATAAATCCATTGATGCAGTTTGCGATCCCATTGAAGCTGCAAATTTTCCAACAGAGTTTTTAAACTCATTGGATTTACCTGGCATATTACCGCATAATTTAGTACTCATTGTTGGATCTCCGGTTATTTTGCTTCACAATTTGAACACATCACGGCTGTGCAACGCCCGCGATTAGTCGTTAAAAAATTAATGAACAACGTCATCGAAGTCATTATTTTAAATTACAAATTCTGGGATGAAAGTATATTAGTTCCACGAATCCCTATTATACCCACAGATGTGCCAATTCAATTTAAACGCATTCAGTTCCACATTAGATTGGCATTTGCAATGACGAGGCCAAACAATGTCTGTCTGTGTCTTAAATTTGAGCACACCATGTTTTTCACACAGACAATTATATGTGGCATGCTCTCAAATGGGCAAACCATCCAGTTTATTTGTGTTAGCTAAAGATGGAATGACAAAAAATATTGTACACTCCATTGCACTAAGATATTAATATTGTTGACTAATATTTTCAGAATTCATTTTATATATAATTTGTAAAAAAAAGTTACAATAAATTAAAAAAATTATTACTTGGTGTGTTAATTTCACATTCCGTCATCGTTCACAGCGCTCCATGCCTCTTCCACTCATGTACCACCTCCGTACACACTTACAATAAATAAGATATAATATATATATATATATATATTGTTAATTTGATAGTACATTTAATGGTGTTGATACTTTTGTTTCTTTGAAATTAGGCAGACCATTTGAAAATAACATATTTAAATTTTATCAGATTAAAAAAATTTTTAGCTTCGTAAATGTTCTTAAGAGTCTTATTAAATGTTTTTCTTTTTATATTTTAGTTTGCTACCTTCAACTGCTGGGTTATTTTTTACTGTTTGTTTAATAATTCAGTTCTTTTTTATTCTTTTTGTTTAAATTGGTTTATTAGAAAAAATGTGCAAAGCATTGCTCAGATAAAACAATATTATTTTTAAGAAAAAAAGTTGCAATCATTACGATCTTTTGACTATATTGAGCAATAAAGTATTAACCTGTGTAGTCTTGGAAAGTGTTTAGTAGAAGTCATGAAAAATCATGGAAAGTTATGAATTTAAAAGCTCTAGACTTAGCAGATATCCTGAATATATATAAAATAAATTTACCAAGAAAACAAAAAAAAAAATTATGTTGAAAAATAGAAACTACTCCAAACAGATGATTTTGGTGCCCCTAAGTCTTACCTTATTTATGGCAATACTGAATTTCTAATAAATAATCATAGATCCATACCACTCCTGCAGTGCCCTTAGAAATGTATTCTGCTCTAATTTATCGAATCTATTTCCTAGACTACTGCATCTTCCCGTGTTTTTCCGTATAATATATACAATTGGTCAAATAATTTCTGAGTTATCCAATTTTTAAAAAAAAGTCCTATATTTAAAATTTCATTTCTTGAACTATTTGACTAATTTGCTTCAAATTTGTCCATTCCCATTAGGAATTACATTTTTTCAAATGAGCTAAAAAATAGTATACCTTGAACTCAATGCATATTATAACTCAATTTTTTTGTCATTAAATAAAATGTTTGAAAGTAATTAATAATAAATTATTTCTTGCATGGAATTATATTAGTATGAACAAATTTTATAATTGTGCGCAAGAATTTTTTGGTTGGCTTGAAAAGTTCTCGAGCCATTGTAAAACACACAAAAAGTAAATTTAGCATTAAGGGGTCCAAACTTACAAATGTTCTCATCAGGGAATGAACAAATTTTATAATTGTGCGCAAGAATTTTTTGGTTGGCTTGAAAAGTTCTCGAGTCATTGTAAAACACACAAAAAGTAAATTTATCATTAAGGGGTCCAAACTTACAAATGTTCTCATCAGGGATATGTAACGAATATTCGGCCATTTCGCTGAAGATTCGGTTGGCCGAATGTCTTGCCAAATACTTCCCAAAGTATTTTTTGACAAAGCTTTTTTTAAAATTCAAATAGATTTAGAAAAGAATAATTTAAAATCATATTTTTTACTATACATTATTAGAAATAGTCTTTACACGTAAATGTTGCATTCTGAAACTTGCACTTGGCTTGCAAATTTCTGTTCTGCAAATATGGAATGAGCTATTTGAAGATTCAAAACTAGGTTTTAAATTGAACCACCAATTTTCTACTTCTGATTATATTCAGACAAGTTTTTTTCAACAATTTTGTTTTAAGAATTCAAAAAGTTTTTTTTTTTTTTTCATTATTGCTGTTTTTCTGTTTTTAATTATTTTTTAAATCGTTTTCACTTAACGTTTCTGATAGACTTTCTTCATTTATTGTCACTTTTTTCCTGTACGGTAAGACATATCAGTAACTTAAAAACTGAGATTTTCAACCTTAAATTATATTTTAAGAACTAAGAACAACTTTTTTCAGTTTCTATTTTGCTTTTTTATTAACTTATTTCTTATCACCATTTTTATTAGATATAGCATTTTGTAAAAATTGTTTCTTAAGAACGCTATGGCAAGGTGGAATTGAGATTTTTAGCATTAAATTTATTATTTAAAAATTAAGAAACCATATTTGTTCTGACAACTGTCTGATTTTTGTTCTAGCTTTTTCTTTTTTATTTTTATTGATGTTTTTAAACCTCATTTTTAATAATTGGTAATACAATAATTGGAGAACAGAGATGTCAGCTTTAAACTTTTTCTTTAAAAGAATTGAGATAAATTTTTACTTTTTCTGTTTCACTTTTGGATATAAACTTATGTTTATATATATATATATATATGCAGTGTAAAGTCGCGTATCCGGAATCGGTGGGACTTCCAGAAGTCCGTATAATAGATTTTTCCGTATAATAGACCCCCAAGGTAAACAAAGCTTAAAATGATTTAATAAACGATCTGAATCTAAGAAGCAAAAAATAAATAAACGTTATTTTTAAGGGGAACAATGTTTTAGCATTAGAATATCTAAATCAAATATAAAATATTAGAAAAAAAATATTATTGCTGAAAATATGGAAAACGAAAAAAATTTAACAGTTATGAAAATATTAATCCGCCATTTTGAACTAGAACGATTCAAGCAGGCAGGGGAAATTCATGTCATTCTGGAACAAAGCTTAAAATGATCTAAATCTAAGAAGCAAAAAATAAATAAACATTATTTTTAAGGGGAATAATGTTTTAGTATTAGAATATCTAATGAATAAAATATGAAATATTAGAAAAAAAATATTATTGCTTAAAATATAGAAAACGAAAAAAAATTGACATATGAAAATAATAATCCGCCATTTTTAACTAGAATGATTCAAGCAAGAAAGGGAAATTCCCGTCATTCATTAAAGTGGGTAGGTGGAGGAGAAAAATTCATTTCCTCCTTATTTGTGAAAGAAAATAAGTGTAAAGATGAGATCATTTAAGTTGTGGGTGGGGAAGTAACAAATTATTGTTTTCTCTCCAACATTGGCTATCAATCAAGCATAAAGGCGGGGCACGCTGATCGGGTTCTCTTTATTTTTTCTTCTATGACTGAAAGAATCTGCTAAAGAGAGAATGTTACCCCCTTTTCCCCCCGCCTCCTAAATATTACATTTTATGGGGAAGAACGAATGTTTTGTTTCTCAAGGACGTATATCCTTTTAGACCTAGTCAAATTTTCCATTTTGACTCCCCCTCCATATATATATATAGCTTTTCCGACTAAATTATTCTTTTAACGTTTTACGAACACCTATTTTGCAGTTAATATTTTAGCATTACTGTTTTGTTTTAGGAATTAAAAGGATTTTTTTCTATTTCTCTTTTTTACAAATTCAGTAGTATATATATTGCTAGCAGTCATGGCCGAGTGTTGAGCCACGCAGACAGCAGTTGGAAGGCAAAAATATTTTTATTGAGCTTCACGTCGTATATTCAGAACATTTTTAAGATTTGGCAGAGCTCAAATTGCACTCAAAACCTGT